ACAAATAGGGAACTTTGTAGCGAAGAAGCCTTAGAAATTGACCGTGATGTAATCGAAGCATTGAAAGACGGGATCCCGTTTTCATTACGGCAAAGATTTCGCCCCGAAAATAACGTCAGCCTAGGCAGGATGTTCGACAACGCACTGATAGCAGAACGCGAAATGCTGAAAGATGAAGCCAAACACCCGCATAACAGCAATAGCCAGCCCCGCAACGAACACCCGTACAGACCGCCACGCAACGATTAGACAAACTCAAAATTCCCGAACGATCAAACCAGCGGGCCTCAGGGAAACAATCCCTACGGGGGGCCACCCCCCAACCGAGGACCGTTGACCTGCCACTATTGTAATAAGATTGGCCATATAAGGCGTGACTGTAGGAAGCTCAAGTGGGACACAGAGAACGGGAACGTGCCGAGAAACACCTACCCCTTGTCCTACGTACAAATAACTTGTTAGAAAAAAATTAGTCAAATGAAAATAATTATTCATGTGTTTGCTGGGAGGCCCTATAATGCTATTTATAGTTGCTTTGGCATAAGGCTAATTATAGCTTCATCAGGCAGTATATTCTTAAAATTTTTATTCCAAACATCATCAAAAGTTTAATAAATGTTTGATTAGACACGTTATACAACATGCATGTTTTTATGACTACTGAGAGAGAAATTTCATGCGACAATTTATCATTTCTCTTAAATTTGAATATTTTGATACTCTAGTCGAATAAATCAATAAAATAAGTAAAAAAATATATATTAACTTATATACTTTATAACTTATTCACTAACTATACTCGAAAATCACTTAAGCATTGATTACAATTAATGAATTATATTTTTAGAGAAGAAATCAGTTTGTATACTTTCGCTCCAATCGATGAATCGAAAACATTAGAAAACAACTCAGAGTGTATAAGCAATTTAAAAGTTATCCTAGCTGTAGGGGAATGCGATTCCCCTATCTTTGTCGAGGAATCCAAACGATATGCACGAGTGAGTAACGTTTTTCTTGTTTTTCATCTTTTAAACGTAAATTACATAAAAAAGTAAAAAAAAGCATTTTTTTTTATTATTTACAGAGACTAATACAATTTGTAGATAATATCAAATTCTTACTGCTGAGGAACAATATCGACCACTTTGACATAGTAGAAAATCTTACAACGAATGACTTTTTACTATCGAAAATCCTTATACACAACGTAAAAAACATTAAATGAGTAACATAAATCATGAGAAACTAAGGGAATTTATTAAAATTTTGTGCTCAAGTTAGCATTTGTAATAAATAATGTACTCTATAGGTACAAAACATTTTAATTAAAAGAAATTTTCGATGTATTTGCCGGGGAGCACTGATAGGTGCTACTTGTTTCTGGTAAAGCTACCTTGGCGTAAGACTAGTTTAACTTTCATGATAGGCTGAAGTTCGTTTTTAAAACTAATTAAGTATGATTATTTAATGTTTCCAACGTTTGCAATGAAAACAATTTGCAGAAAATGGGGGAAATATTAAGAAAAAACATTTCTTATTTAATTTTAAACTTATTACAAGCAAGACACGAAAATATTCCATCTCCTTATAAATAAATGTATATTACAACAAAATAGAGAAAAATATAAAAAAAGCAAACACAACAAACTTGCGGAATGAGCTTAACTCTCAAATGATCGCCGATTGCTATTCCACCACTTCATCATGGTTCATCTTTTCTTCAAGGACTGTCGGTAAGGAATTGTATAATCACATTTTGTTACAAAATGTTTACACATTAGTCGACTATCGATATCTCGAAGATCAATTTTTTTTTTAATTTTGATTTTTTTTACTGCTAATGGGTTAGGCACCTCGGACACTTGAATACTAGAAGTTTTTGACCTTCTTTCTGGCGAACACAAATCTACCACCTCTACTAGTGGAAAAATATTTTTTTTTGGTGAGAAGTCCAGATCTATGGACTCTTTTCCCGGACTTTCGGGAGAGTCCGAGGTCTCCCAAGCCTTGGGAAAGTTGCCCACACTAGCCACTCGTATCCTGGGAAAATACTTCGCATTATCGTCTACCAATGTGGGAGAATCTGAAATTCAAAGATAAAGATTATGATTTATTATAATTTGTGAGGTTAGAAAATATGTTGGAAACTACAACTTGATGATTACTACCTGGTGACGTGCAGTTATCTCCAAGGTCTATACATTCAATTTCTTTTTCTTTTATATTATTTTCATAAGCTGTGTTTTGACATTTTGAATCATCGTTTTTTTTCATCTTTTTAGCTGGTTTTTCTACATCTTCACGGCTGTTATGATTCTGATTGTCTTTACCAGATTCTTCTTCGTCACTGTGGAAGAATCGTTTTCGCTTACCAACTTGTGAATTTTTCTCAACTAGATGTTTCTCATCATTATCTAGATTACAACTTTCCTCGGATGAATACATGGCTATCATTGATTCTTTTAATTTTTCATTGCTTAAATTCTTTTGCATATTTACATATTTTTCAAAAACTTCATTTAAATGATTGTCCGATTTTAACTTATTAGCCTGAAGAATTTTTTCAAGGTTATGATCTTTAGATGCTGGGTCAATATATTTGCCACAAGTATTGTTGATATAATATCCAAAATATTCTTTGGACTCCTGTATTCGACATTTTTTCAAATATTCGACAACTGCTTTAAATGATTTTGTAGCTAAAAAAGCGGTAGTTATGAGATAACAGATGTATATACAGTAATTATTAACGAAAACAACTCATACACTTACCATATAATTCTATTTCTTGTTTACTCAATTGACGGTTCCGAGTTTCGTTATGTTTTTCTATAATTTGTAATACTTCGTAAAAGTCGGGTGCAACAATGTAACTCGGAACAGCATTAAAGTTCTGAATGTGTTTTAATTTGTTCATCCGACTAATACTAATATTTACAAAATCAATGATAGATTGATCAATGGCCTTAATTCCGGTCATTTCATCTTGGATATCATTCAACGTAATTTTTTTCTTCATTATTTTTGATTTTAGTTTTTTATCTCTTGCTATATCACTAAGTGCTTGGCACAACTGCACATATTTTCTTTTATACCTATCTTCCTTTAAATACGCTGAGTCTTCATCATCATCAAAGATGACGTCTGCTGTTTCTAGTTCTTCGATTCTTCTTTGGCATTCTTTTATAACCTTCTCTAATATTTTAATTTTTTTCAACTCGTCTGTAGTATATTTTGGTTCTGTATCTGATTCACTGCCTTTTTCTCGTGTTGATTTATCTTTTTTGAGTTTAATTATGCGTCTACTGATTTCCTCACGAACTTCAAATATAGTTTGGTAAAATTTAGCTTTTTTATGAGTTATATTGTTTACGCGATTTCGAAGAAAAAGTATGAAGTCTTTATCATCTTTGTTGAATGAATCAAGCTTGTTGTATTTCTTTCGCAACTTTTCAAGAATTACTTTAGTTTCTTCATCAGCCTTTTCGTAATTAGCACAGGCTTTCAGAAAGTCTTCAAAAACTTCATCCGCAGAATTTGAATTTGAAATAATATCTTTGACAATTAAGACTGGTTGAATTCGCTTAACAGTTTTATCCCTCACTCCTGTGTTTGATGGAGACTTGGTCTGCGATTGTTTTTCAACTTCATCAAAATATTTTGATGTTCCTGCCTCAGAAGATTTAGAGTCCATTATCAAATTACAATTATTATCTACACGATGATTTTCAGACTTATTGTCGATACTAAGACAGGAATTCAGGCTCGACAAAGTTTTTTCCAAGTTAGAGTCAATGCAAACCTTAGATGTTTTTTCGCTATCTTCAAATTTAAGTTTCTTAGCACTACTGCCCTCTCCAGCTGTCTCAGAAGGGAATTTTCTTTTCTTCTTGAATGCCTCCTAGATAAAATTTAAATTGTAATGTGTAACTGTTATCAAAACTGTATGTAACTGTTATGTTTGTGGTACCTTCTCTATGTAATGTTCAAAAAAAAAACTCAAAAAAAATTTACTGGGGTATGCTAGCTTCAGTGTACAACAGAAAGGTAAAGTTGATTTAAGAAGATTTACTACTTAGTATAGGACCCAAAGCAAAAAATCATTGATTTAAAAAAAATGTCATTTCAGTGGAAGTTTTTACCTAGGAAAATGAGAGGAAAATGGTGGAATTACAATGTATAACTTTAGGCATAAATGAATCAGTAGTAACATTGTTGAAATAAATCAGAAGGTGCCAAAAACTACTTTTGGGCTCAAAAAGGGCAAAAACAAAAATGAAATCGAAAAAAAGCTGCCACTTGTAGCACTTGAAAGACGAAAAGTATTAGCTTTTAACACTAATTTTCAAACAATTACTTTTTGCGTGAATAATAAAAACTTGCGATTTCATTGTTTCTGAGAATTGTATGTACAGAGGGAAAGATTTACAAGCAAAAAAATTTTAACAGATACTTCCATGGTTATGCTGCATAATGAATTTCCTATTAATTAAATGTATTTTGCGATATAAATGTTGCAAACCATGCTATAATTCAAAATATTGAACACAATTTTTGTTTGTATTCATAAAAAAGGTTATGGATCATTTTGTGAATTCTAGAGCAAAATTACAACTTCAAATATTTATGATAAAAGACAAAATACAGAAGTAATAGATATTTGAATTCCATGAAAACCGTATGGAGAGGAGAAAAATTTTCTGTATGTGGTAGAAGTCATGAAGTTATTAAATGGCCAGTTCATCTTGAAAACAAATAAAAAACTATTTTTAAAGTAAATAAGTTAGAAAAATCCATAAATTACTGAAAAAATCCTTTTACAGTTTTGTTTGTATTCAATAAAGATAACAATTTCATAAAACGTATTTATTGCATAAATATTTTATGTTATTGCGTTTTTGATAACGAAAAAATAAAAATACGACAATAAGAAAAAAATTATGACCATAAGTCAATATAAGTTTTTTCTCTAAAAAACAAAGAACATTTATTTAACTAATAGAAAAAACTAGTTTTTTGAGTTTGAAAAATTTTATAACACATGAAAAATTTTTACAAAAACATTTCAAGGCTAGCGTTAAGGTTCAATAGATAACAATTCTTCAAGTAATAAAATAATTAAGGAAGCAATAACTGTTATAAAACTATTCAATCATAAAAATTTTTGGCGTAGTTTTTACTTTTCATAATATTTCCAGTGATACAATTTAAAATTTATATGAAAGTACATAAACATTTTAATTAAAAGAAATTTTCGATGTATTTGCCGGGGAGCACTGATAGGTGCTACTTGTTTCTGGTAAAGCTACCTTGGCGTAAGACTAGTTTAACTTTCATGATAGGCTGAAGTTCGTTTTTAAAACTAATTAAGTATGATTATTTAATGTTTCCAACGTTTGCAATGAAAACAATTTGCAGAAAATGGGGGAAATATTAAGAAAAAAACTTCTTATTTAATTTGAAAGCTTATTACAAGCAAGACACGAAAATGTTCCATCTCCTTATAAATAAATGTATATTACAACAAAACAGAGAAAAATCTAAAAAAAAGCAAACACAACAAACTTACGGAGTGAGCTTAACTCTCAAATGATCGCCGATTGCTATTCCACCACTTCATTATGGTTCATATTTTCTTCAAGGGCTATTGTCTGTAAGGTATTGTATAATCACATTTTGTTACAAAATGTTGTCACATTAGTCGACTATCGATATCTCGAAGACCAATTTTTTTCTTAATTTTGATTTTTTACTGCTAATGNCATAATAAATATGCAAATTTATGGAATACAAAAATTTTGTATTCGATCTAAGGAGGAACTAACACTAATTATAGTGAAGATAGAGTAACCTGTAAAAGTGTTGTTTATATTGATATCGCTATTTATATGTAATGAGAATAACCGTTTTATAACTATTGAACATTTGGTACATTTATAATTTTACATCTGAAAAATGTAGTATTGGTTTCAAAAAAGTTATAACTTCGAATTGACCGCAAGTTAGAATTCTATAGTTAACGACTTGATAAAAACGTTTTTTTTTCAAAAATGATTAGGAAGTCAAAATTTTGTTAATATCTTAATAGATATACGTAATCTACTATTGATACATGTTTCGAAAATTTCGTGATTTTACTTATCTTCAGTTTATCATAAATCACTTATTATACTTGGAAATTGTTTTTGTCAAATTGTTAACTAGAGAGTTCCATAATAAATTTCATTTGAAATTCCAACTTATCTTTAAAAACTATCCTTTTTTTTCACTGTGTCGTAAGTTTAACATAATATACGATTTTGTGATTTAATTTGTTTGATTCAAATAGATATTAATTCAATGAAATTTTAAAAAATCACCGAAAAATTGCCACGAGCCAGGTCTGACATTGTAATCGCCAGCAAAAGTAAAAAATCGCAATTTTGGCGATCAACTGGCATTTGACCACCTACGAAAATAAGTGATGTACATAAATGAACATATGACAGCTCGAAAAAAGATGTATAGATTTATAAATAATAATTTAACGTGACAGTTTATCTCGGACGGAATTTAGTTTATGGAAGGTGTGAATTAGGCCCTTGTTCTTGTTCTGAGCGGTACAAGCTAACCAAAACAACTTCCATAGTGGGTATACTGTAAATCTAAGTGCATATATAGTTTCTACACATTTAGATTGTAACATCTTTTACACACTTTTATCTACGTAATTTTATGCTTTTTAAGTGTATAACTCATGATTTAAAGCGTTAAAAAATTTACATACTTAAGTGCATAGAATCTGTGCACTTTGGTTTGTAGTTTACATATATATATATGTGTGTGTGTGTGTGTGTGTGTGTGTGTGTGTGTGTGTGTGTGGCCTCGGTCATAAATACAAATATGTTGCCTGTAGAAGTTATTCGGTTAGCTCGGAGCAAGACCACGTGTTCCGTTTTAAAAGCCAGAGTCCTCCAAACGTACTGGATCTCTATGCCGAACAAATCTACTGAAGCTAGCATTTGGTTATTTTTGTCTACAGCCATTGTTTACGAAAACAAGAAGTATTTCTTCATGATTAAGGGTGTAAAAAATGTTTAATGTGTTCAAGTGATTCAAATTTTCAATGGCAACATCAATTTGCACTCCCTTCATAATTGTAAAGCAACTTGACGGTTTCAGACTTATATATTTGTAAAAGAGGATAAAGAAGGTTACACAACGCATTATTAAAATTATTAGATTATGGGAGAATAAATAAATTTTTTTACCTTTGACGAAGTGTTGTCATGTGTTCTTTGTGAAGTTTTAGGTAATACAACCTCGTCGTCAGACGAACTGATAGTAATTACCGCACTCATTTTCGAGAATATTGTATATTCGTCAAACACTCTAGTTATATCAAATAATAACTGCAGTCAAAATTCAAGTCTTTCTTGACCCCAACGTCAATAGTTCTGGATAAGTCTTAACTTGCAAAAATTTAGGAATCGCATTCAAACAGCACTTTTCACAGGTGTAACTTGCTTTTTGGCGTACTGTATACGATAACAAATAACAATAGGTACTACCGATTCTACACGAATGATATATAGGTATACACACGTACTATAAAGTCTGACTTTTCTGCACTATGTAGGTACTGCAGTGCTTACACTCAGCATGGCACGAGGCTTTGAGTAGAGAACGAGAATGGCTGCTACCGTATATATATATATATATGTTTCAGCTACCTGACTGGCATGCTATGAGTGGTGGAAGCATTGCATGATACATAAGAGGCGGGAACAACCGCGCAAGCAAAACAAAGAAGAAAACTGCCATTTTAAGTACCTGAGTAAGCGATATATCGCAAGATCGATACTGTCTGGCGGTAAATTCAAACGTCACATATTAATCTGACAACCCTGTACTCTCTATGCAATCCAAACAAGGCGTGTAGTTATATCAGTTGACTTGAATCAACTGGTTACAATTTCAATCAACTCATAATTTTTATCCAAACAATGCTGACAACTTAGTGTTATAACTTTATAATATCAGCAATCACTAAAAATTACATTTTACCAGAAATAATGACTTTTAAGCTTACCAAACTATTTTATAAGTGTGATCTAATAACATGATCTATGATTAATATGAGTGATCTATGATCTAACCTCTTAAAAAAATAGGGTTATGGGGTTATTGGCACTTAGGTTTAAATATCTCAATAAATATTCAAGACAATCTACGATTTAATGTATTTTGACTTTTGGTAACTGAAAATAATCTTATATTAAAAAAAAACTGTATAAATTATGTTATACTTTTCGTCTTTACCGCCATAAGTATTAAATATGGTGGAGCCAATCAGCGCAGAGCAGTACCCCTCTCCACAAGTCTAGAGGTTTTGAAGCACTAGCGCCAAACTCTACGTTAAATTGGATGAGGTGGCAACTTTTGTAAACCTACCTAGACAGGAGGCTTTTTCCCTCATCCACTGTTCGGTTATTGTTTGGAATTCGGGAGCGCAGTTCCATCACTTTCCATCCAATTTCATTCGTGCCTTTGGCGCCATATATACACGCTCGGCGTCGTCGGCTCTCTTCAAACAATACATCCGCACGTGCTTCCATAGCTGTTTGAAATGGCTGAAATAGGTAAAATTTAGTTGTCACGGTGTTGATTATCATTTCCAACTAGAATTAGTTACGTATATCTTTTTTTTTTTTTTTTTTAATCCTCAAAATTAATTCATTGAGGTGATTTCTTGTGTTACGAGTTAAGATTGTCGGCTTGTTGCTTTGCGGTAAACAGCACGTGGTTCCATGAGATTCCGATCACAATTATTTATCAAAGTACACTAGTAAACAATTGAGTTTTATGTTAAACATTCAACTGATATATAAATACAATTAATATCTTAGAAACTAATGAGATTCGAAGTGTTTGTCGAATTAAATTAGGGAAAACAGTCTTGAGGTTGAGGTTATAAGAATGAGTTCTGGTAACATGAGTGTTTATATTACAGAAAATGAAAAGAAAAAAAGCAAGATTAAGTCTATCGGAGAGGCGCAGTTGAAGGTTAAGTATGAAATGCAGTCATCCAATGAAATCCCTAAGCTGGACTGCAAGGACTGGCCATTGTTGTTTAAGGTGCGTATATTTATGTTCTCTATAGTTCAATTACGGAGGGGTTGTATCAAGAGTCATTTATTTCTTACAGAATTTGGACAAAATGTTGACACGCACAAAACATTTTACACCTCTTTCTTGCGGATCCACACCCCTTCATAGAACGATTTCTGAGTACGTACAGTCTGGTTGCATAAACCTTGACAAGCCTTCCAATCCATCATCCCATGAGGTTGTCGCATGGATTAAAAGAATTTTAAAAGTTCAAAAAACAGGTCACTCTGGTACCTTAGACCCAAAAGTATCAGGCTGTTTAATTGTTTGTATTGACAGAGCCACAAGACTGGCCAAATCTCAGCAGTCAGCTGGTAAAGAGTATGTGGCTGTATTCAAGCTCCATGAGGCTGTTGACAATATTAAAAAGGTAACATCTTCTTTTATTTACACTTGGTGATATTTAAGGAATTTGGTTAACACAAAATTAATTCAATTTTCAGATCCATCAGGCCCTTGAAAAACTGAGAGGTGCATTATTTCAAAGACCTCCTCTAATTTCAGCCGTCAAACGTCAGTTGAGAGTAAGAACAGTTTACGACAGCTGGTTTCTTGATTATGATGAGGAAAGAAACATGGGAGTCTTCAAAGTTAGTTGCGAAGCGGGTTCCTACATTAGAACAATTTGTGTCCATCTTGGTCTATTTCTTGGTACTGGTTGCCACATGCAAGAGCTGAGAAGAAATCGTTCTGGTATTATGTCTGAGAAAGATGGACTAGTCACGATGCATGATCTACTAGATGCCCAATGGCTGTACGAAAATCATGGTGATGAATCTTATCTGAGGAGAGTTATCAGACCATTGGAATCACTACTTGTCAATCATAAAAGGATCATTGTCAAAGACAGCGCTGTAAGTATTAGTTCTTTTACTACCCAAGTCGTTTGAGTTGAACAAACTTTTGAACTTAAAATATTGTTGCTCCAAAATATTTTTTAATAGTAAATACCTGTTGCCTAGGTAAATGCTATATGTTATGGAGCTAAAATAATGTTGCCTGGTGTTCTGATGTATGATCAAGGTATTGAATTAAACGAAGAAATCGTTATTGTCACCACTAAAGGAGAAGCTGTGGCTCTCGGTAAATACTTTTAATTTTACTTCTAAATTTTTAGAGGTAAATTTTTGAAGAAAAAAAAAAAAAAAAAAAAAAAAAAAATTCTCAGCACTTCTCGTTTATGTTATACAAACTAATGTTTAAAAATTTTACACAGCTGTGGCTCTCATGACGGCGCCAACAATGTCAGCTTGCGATCACGGAGTAGTTGCCAAAATTAAACGCGTTATTATGGAAAGAGACGCTTACCCAAGAAAATGGGGCTTAGGACCAAAGGCATCTATGAAAAAGAAAATGATCTTGGAAGGAAAACTTGATAAACATGGAAAACCGAATGAAAATACACCTTCTAACTGGCTCACCAGCTACACGGATTATGCTCCTTTAAAGGTTTGTTTAGTTTGTGTTATAAGTAGTTTTGAATCAACAATTTTCTAAGCTACCCTATCTTACAGAATGAAGAAAACGATGTGAAAGAAACGCAAGAAAAAGTGCAAGTTGTAGAAGCTCCTTCTAAAAAGCGCAAGATTGAAGAAACTATGTCTCCATCTAAGGAAGTTGTAGTTAGCGAATCAGTAAATGAAGTAGAATCTATAAAAGATATAAAGAAGGAGAAAAAAGAAAAGAAAAAGAAGAAGGTCAAGAAAGAAAAGCAAGAGTCGGAAGCTGAAACGTCAATGGTCGTTGAAGAACAGGGAGAGGTAGATATTTAGTTTAAATATTTAAGTCAATGATCATTTGTGTATGTGTAATTGTAAACAATTTTTTTTTTTTTTAGGAACAGTTAGTGAAGGAAAAGAAAAAGAAAAAGAAGAAAAGCAAAGAGCAGTCTCCTACTGAAGAATAAGGGCGTTAATTTTTTTTAAATCACCTTTTTTTAACGATTTGTGAATGAGTAATGAGTGGTTGCGAGTGCAAAATGAAGACTATTTATAATTAAAATAGTCGCTAATCGTGATAAATGCTGAATGATTTTTTTGAGAAAGTATAAATATTGGAACCGTTAAGAGTATATTCCAAGTTTATCTTCTGTAACTAGCATTTGTGGATAGATTTACATAAATATTTAAGCTGTACATAAATATTTGTAATAGACTATTTTTATGCTCATAAAAATACTTTTCACCAAACTAAAGTAAGATCTTTCATTTTTCCATTACTTTTTTTATATAAATATTTTGTCATTACAGCTACTTGCAAAATTAGTTATTTGTTTTATTCAGTTTTTGTCATGAAAATTATCAAACAAGCATTGGTTGTAAAACAAAAAAACAAACAGGTTAGGTTGAAGCTATCAACGTTGGATGATACACGAATATTTTGTAAAAACAATATATGCTGTTTTCATTAAAAATTTGAAAATATAATTCAGAGATTTTTTTACACACATCCAGCAGCAGTAAGTTGAATGAATCAGTACAAAAAGTTGGCAAATCTAAGATTAAATTGATGCATATGTTTCTTTGTATATTGAATTATGATTCAGTTATTTGAAGACAACAGTATCGAGCATAGCTCCTAAGCATTGAACAATATTCGTCGTCATAAGATTGTCTACCTTCTCTTCTAAATGTCTCTTTGGGTCTTGTTTACCAACATTCTTGATCGCCAACTGTTCTGGCGTCATTTTCTCTTCATCCTCCAAAGCCTGATGATAAATTTTTAGTATGTAGGACAGATTTGTAATTTAAAAAAATATATTTTATTGCTTAAAGCTTACCTTATTATAATTTTTAGCTAATTCAAGCATTTCTTGCACAGTATTTTCGTTGATTTTACTGTGTTCCGAGTACTCTGCAAGTGTCAAGCCATCCATCCAAGTCTTTTTGTGCAAATTTAGTAACATTTTCTGTTCCAACTCGTTTTTACGGTAGTTAATACTAATGCTATAGTAATGTCTATTCAACCCGTGAATAAGTGCTTGAACAGATGGTTTTTGCAAGTGACCTAAGTTTGACGTTGTCTGTCGCGGTTCTTGACCGAGAACCTACATAAAAAAAAAGAAAATCTGTAAGTTTCACTTTCTAAAAACAATACATCAGTGTTGAAGAAAGAAAAAAAACGGCGCTCACCATCATGTTTGGATTAATTAATCTAAATGCATCTATAACAACTTTTCCTTTGACTGACTGAATGGGATCAATAACAACAGCTACTGCTCTCTCACTAAGTGCTTCAAATGATTGCTGTGTGTTTATATCTACTCCAGATAGCCAACATCCAAATCCAGGATGGGAATGATACCAGCCAACTACCATCTCAGGTCGACCAGTTTGTTTGAGCATGTCTAACATTTTTGCTTGAAAAACTGGATCTACTGCTTCCACGCTAACTCCCTAAAAAACAAGTTGCAAAATGAGAACATGTGCACTTTTAGAATATGTTTATAATATTCCAGATAATGAAACTTACGGTTCCCGTCTGTGGCATGGCAAAGACATCTATAACCCTGACTGTGTAGTCATCAACAAATTCACCAAGCATCAGACCCATTACTTCCATTGGTACCCCCGCTCTTCCGTGTTTTAACATTTTCAACAGTGCCAGAGAGGAAATGTAAACCTACAACGTACATAACCATTGATCACTCGACGTAAAAATGATGCATAAGTTACATTGAGGATTATTATTTCCGATTCATTGTTTACCTGCTCCGCAGTATCTACGACTGGGGCGTCCGAAGGCGGAGGTCCCGAGTTCAATCCGGGCATTCCACCGCCTAATCGCAATAGTCTGTCCATATTTTTATACTAAAATTACACTGGAAATAAATAAAAATTCCGGTAAATAATCAAGTCACCAAACAATTTTCATGTGTAAAATACACAAATCATCGTATTTTGAGGTTAAGCAGCGGCTTTAAACGAGTGCTCCAAAAACACGATATTCACGTTATTTACGGTAAAAATAGAGCAAGTAAGTATCATATGAACGTACACTCAAGACACAAATAACAATCGCTAATACTTCACGATCTGTTTAACTTTTCTGTAAGCATCAACAACGGATTTGAGGACATATCCCCTCACTTACTGACATACAAACCAAAACCAAACCTATACCTACTAAATAAAACTCAAATCTGCAAACTCACTTTAATGTTGAGAGAGAGAGAGAGAGAAAACGTGCTTACACTGTACATGTATTGTATACACACACAATAGCGCGTGAGCAGAAGAAAAAAGAGAGAGAGTATACACGATTTTTGACATATATAAGTTTCTGATGGTGCAGGTAATTGTTGGTAAACCGTGGCAAGATCTTCCGCACTTCAGGCTGCATATGCAATTAGAATAAAAAAAAACAAAAAAAACTAAACAGTAATTTTCAACAATACAACAAAGGTCAAGGCCAGTGAGGTAAACGACAAAAAACCTCTGAAACCATTCTCTGCCTGCACAGAAACGAAAAAATTCGGGGCAAGTGTTGAGAAAAATAACCACCTTGTACTGAATCGTAATTAATATTTCTCAAACTACTTCGATTGTTGCCGTATTTACATTTTGCATATTTTCTTTAGTTTCGAGGAGCTCGAAGGACTTGCAAGGACTCTGAGACCTTTAAAACTATGTCTTCCAACGTTCTGAGCTAAATCCTCGAAAAAATCTATTAACGATATGATATGCGTAGTTAAAAAGTGCTGCTATGAGATTTAGTAATTTAAAAATCTTTCAATATCTTACAGAGTCATGTGGAATCGTAACGACATGATCATGTGTGTACATCAATAAGTCAAAACACTATAATGTAAGAAAATTTGTGATACTATAGGTTTGTTAAACTAATTTTATATTTGTGCTAGATAAAACTAAGTAGAAAACATTTTACAATTGAACAATTGGTTAGATTTTTTTACTTTTAAAAAGAGTGCCGTGACGGAATTTTGTTTCACACAAAGCGCTAAGTGGCTAAAAAATCAAATATGGCCGGTCGTTTGTTTAGCTTTTTGATTGGCTGATGTGAAGTGAAAAAGGCTCTTCTTAGGTGTACCTTTGGTCGGTAATGAACCAGAATTCACAATTGCAGCGACTTGTTTCGTTGGCGGGAAGCGGGAACAGATCACCTCTGCGAGTTAGATACGCAAGTATTTGTTTGACTGGGTTGCTTCGAAGTGCGCAATCACATAAAATACATTTATTTCGCAAACAACATTTAGAAATTGCGAATAAAAAAAGTTGAATTGATTATTTTGTAGATAATAATCTAACAGTCATGTTGCCTCAACTAACGGCAGGTGCTCTTGATGTAAGTTTTGTTTGTCCTGTACATGGTTATGAAATATTATAATTAGCTCTTACTGTAAATTATCTTTTGTGTAATTTACTAACATTAGTTGAATGTTTTTACAGACGATAATGAATGGCACAGAGATTGAAAACCCGGTTTTTCAGATCTTGGTGAGTTTTTTCACCACAATTGAGCTGTTGAATTGTAAATTCTAACTAACGAGTTTGTGTTTATGTAGGGTCACAAGAGACTCGCCAGCTCATCCAGCGGGGAACGATTCAGGCTGCTGGTGTCGGATGGAGTCAAGTCCAATTCCTTTACTATGCTGGCAACTCAGCTCAACCACCTTGTCACTGATAATATCTTGTCGGAACACTCTATTGTTCGGATCAACCGCTATGCCATAAGTATGGTCAACAATGGTGGCACTCAGAGGTATTGCATTTGCTTAATATACTATTCTGCTTGTAAGTAAACAATCAGTGACATTTTTAAGCTGAAGTGAATAATTCATTTTGCGCAGACGTGTTATGGTGATTCTGAATATTGAGGTATTAGTTCCTGGCAATGAAGTTGGAGTTGTTTTGGGAGATATCAACTCAGAAAATGCCAAATCGGAAGAAGTTGCTGATCCTGTGGTGAACAAAACTAAAACCGCACCACAGAAATCTGTTGCTCCTGCACCAGTACCAAAGCCAACTCCAAAGAATAATTTGAATGATTCAATATCTAGTGGCATTAACACAACTCCCATTGTTGCTCTAAGTCCTTATCAAAACAGGTGGGTTCCACATTTACAATATTGACGTGTACTTTTATATTCGATTATTGTAGATACTTTCTGTCACTTAGAAATCTTTGAAATTTTAGGTGGGTCATAAAGGCTCGCGTTGCAAATAAATCACCTATCAGAACATGGTCAAACTCTCGTGGGGAAGGAAAGTTGTTCAGCATGGATTTATTGGATGAAAGTGGCGAAATCAGATGCACGGCGTTTCGCGATCAGTGTGATAAGTTTTATGATATGATAGAGGTATATTTGTAATTAAACTCTGAAAGGTAAAATTTGTACGTTTTAATGGGAAATGTTTATTACAGATTGGAAAAGTTTACTTCATCTCCCGCTGTATTTTGAAACCAGCAAATAAACAATTCAATAACTTGAAAAACGACTATGAAATGACGTTAGGCAATGATTCCGAAGTAATAGTTTGTAATGAAGAGAGTGAGGAAATTCCGAGCTTGCAGTTCAACTTTGTGCCAATCAGTACTGTTGAAACAACGCCAAAAGATGATCTGCTTGGTAAATTTGTGTTAAATTAATAATATTGATATAAAATTTTTTATTTCAAGTACTTCTTGCTGTTTGCAGATATTTTGGGAATCGTCAAGAGTTGCAGCGATGTACAAAATTTAGTTGCAAGAACTACTGGGCGAGAACTTAAAAAAAGAGATATTAATATTGTAGACGAAAACAATGATATGGTGGGTACAAAATAAGGTTTTAGGAATTTTTTTTTATAATAGGTGCATTTTAAGAGTTTTACATAATTTTTTAGATAAGTCTGACTCTTTGGGGTCAGCAGGCAGTTGACTTTGATGGAACCACAAATCCTGTTATAGCAGTCAAAGGAGCGAAAATTGGTGAGTACCAAGGAGGTAAAAACTTATCTTTAGTAGCTTCATCCATGCTGCAAGTCGATCCAGACATTCCTCAAGCTCATAAGTGAGTATACAGTAGTTTTTGCGACTTATACAATGATGATTGTACATTTAATGTTATTTATCTCTCTTCAGATTACGCGGATGGTTTAAGACTGTTGGTTCCAACGCGGAATCTAGGTCTTTATCCAAGACAAACGTCTCGAGCGGTATGAACGGCACATGGGCAACATTTAAAGAAGCCGCAGAAAATAGATTTGGTCATCAAGACCAGCCAAGCTATTTCATTTGCAAGGCAACGGTCAATCTAATCAAAGCAGAAAATGCACTGTACAAATCTTGCCCATCAGAAGGCTGTAAAAAAAAAGTTGTTGATCAGAGCAATGGAATGTACAAGTGTGAGAAGTGTCAAAGGGAGTTTCCTAACTTTATTTATCGTTTATTGGCCAGTGTGAGTTAACTAATTTGTCAATTCTAATATTTCACATCTAACTCACTAATATCGCGGTTTTATAGGCTAATTTGGTTGACTGGACAGCCAATCATTGGGTTACTGCATTCAATGATGATGCAGAAGTTTTAATGAACGCTTCTGCTCAGGAGTTGGGAGAACTGAAAGAAAAAAATGATGATACGTACATGGAAAAAATTGGAGCAGCTGCATTTAAATCGTACATCTTCAAATTGCGTATGAAAATGGAAAATTACAATGTGAGTACACTGCAAAATATGTATTTGGATATCACCTAAATTGAATCTATTATTCTATAAATTTATACTTTTTTACAGGATGAAAACAGACTAAAAGCGACAGTTGTTACTATTCAGCCGATAAATTATAAAACTTACACTGAACATCTGCTAAATAATATCAAAGAGTTAGCGGATATAAAAAATTAAGTTTATAAGCATTTTAGTGTAAGTTAATTTTTTATGTACAAATTATGGTTAAATACTTCATTGATAGTTTTTTTTACGTATGATTCAATAAAAAAATAAACAATAATTTTTGATACAATTAGTAACAAAAGCAAACTTTCACCAAAAAAGTAAAGTTCTGATGTCAAATGAGAGGGCCATGAAGGTCTGACTTGCACGTGAATTTTTTTACGATGCAATAATAACGCGAACTCTTTCTTTTGCGTGTTAACATTATTGAAAAAAATTAATTTAACTACTTGAGAAGTGAAAACTATAAATCAACAATGTGCCTCTTTAGAATTGTTATTATTTACAGATCTGTATTACTGACAATAAATAATTTACATTAACAATTAATATTGTTTTGATTATCATCCCTGTATTGGTACAAAATTAAAATTATATTCTAATTCTTCCGTGAAATAAGTTTTGGGCTCTTATGAGAGTGTATTGAAATTATCTAAAAAAAAAAATTTTTTGTTCAACTATATGTACCTAAGTCCATAAGTGTCAACTAAGTACCTAAGTCAATTTTTACATGATATCGATTAAGTATAGTCGTTCAGCCGTCAAAACAAACGTGACATTTGCTGTAGACATAGGCTGTAATCCAGTGCCTATAAACCAGTTGTAACTTTGCGGAATGCACTAATATTATATACATGCATAATATCTCTGACTAAAACAGCTACAGTCGTGGAGTTAAAAATTTATACTTACTTATGTCTTTTTTAGATCAAAATAATCGTTACAGCGTAGAAGGAAGTGACTTTCTATCTAAATATCATTCAATATCTAATAAGTTGAAAAAGTAAGGTTAAGTTTACGTTTTAAAAGTTTACAATAAACTGATGAGATAATTTTTGTCTACTTTCATTCCAGGCGTTTCTTAAGAAAGCCAAATGTTTCTGAAGCATCGGACCAGTTTGGTAAATTAACGAGATAATTTTTTTAGTTTTTAAGTTGTGAACAAAAATCGTAATGTAGCGTCTCCGTATAAATAATGAACCAAAAATTTTATTTTCTGTCTGACGTGATATCAACAGAGGTGTTAGCATTGAATTGTGAACAAAAAGATTTGAATCAGTATGCCGGCTGGTGCTGGTTATCTGCAGCAAGATGCCAAGGAACATTGGGGAATTCCATTTCTGAAGTGAATCTGCTGACAAAAGCAGGACGTCAGTTTTTGAAGGCTAATAAAAAAAATGATGAATTGGGCTGTCTTTCGATTAATCAAGAAGATTTACAAGCAGCAATAAACGCCTTCAATCATGCCATTACAAGATGCAACAATGAAGATGGCTATAGTATTATGTCAGCTAGTTTAACCATGGAATTGGCTATGGCTCTTGGGGCAAGTTCAGAAGGAGTTGACTACTTGTGTAAGGCCATTTACACTCATCCAACAGTGCAAGCCATTAATTTATTGGTTACGTACTACATAAAGCAAGGTTTTTTAGAAATTTTCATTTTTTACACAGTCAAATCATTGAATCCACAATACTTTTTAATTTTATTTCACAGGGGACTATGTTTCTGCTCTACAGGTACTCACCGAGTTGGTGGAAATGATTGAAAACCACGTTGGTATTAGAATAATTGGAAATTACAAAAACGTGTTGCACAGGTGCGAAATAAGTAGGGTACTACTGCTGTTGATTCTTAGGCCTACACCTAAAAAGCTTGCACCTTCTCTTGCTCAGGTATTGGAAAAGTATGCTTGGGCTGAAGATACTCCTCTTGCTGGTACTCAACATAGCTGTTAATTAATTGTATACTTTGTTGAAAATTTGAGGTAATAAAAGTAAAATTTCTAGTGCCAAACATGACAGAGGATGAGATGCTGCTGCTCCAGTCTCTTGTACTGGCTTGTCAATCTAGAGATTACGAAGCTTTGCTAGAACTTGAGATGGAATTGTGGTCATTCTTTGATACAGAACAGAAAGAGCTATTAAGAAAATTGATTCAAACGTTCAATAAGGAATAAAAAAAAAAAAGCTTTAAAAGCTCTATTAAATTTTAAGTAGTTTCGTGTGTAATTGAAGTTAACGAAAAAAAAAAAAAAAAAAAAAAAGAAAAAAAAAACGTAAATAAAGATAAATTTTTTATAAACAAGAAATACTTTGACCAAGTACTCCTGCAGTTAGGCCTGTCCGCGGGTGAAATTCAATAGAAGCACAGAGACGCGGGGATGGAAGATAACGTACATATGTAAGGCATACGAAATTTATTGATTTGCCCTTGAAAGTGAATCTTTGGTGCTGAATTCGTGATCTTTATATGTGCCACTTGCGGAAGCTATTTTAACGATGAAGGGAACTGACAACCTCGATGACAGATTGAACTAATTGTTCTTCGTCTTGCCGGTCCCGGCTGGTGTGACAATCGTGCCCGGATCTCCTCTCAGCGATGAGCCTCCACTGTTATTCGAAAGCAGCTAGGTACATACATAATCGGGAAATCGTGGAGCAGAGGACCTACAAATTCGCTGCAGTGCGAAACTCAGCTTTCCGGTCGAGACCGGCACCGCACGTGTATTTAGTGCAAAAATATTGAAAAGCGGTAGTTTTTCGCTCCTAACTCGGCTTCTCTTTAATGTTTATGGAGCTTCAACGCCCCTTGTTTTGAAGCCAAAGATCCAAGCTTTAGAATCAATCGTGATAGGATCCCAAAATTGCATGAAAGCGAGCTAAGCCACTTTTTTACAAGCATTTTAACACTACACATAAAAAACATTAGTATGACCGTTTTTTTCCGCTACAGTACGATTAGAAACAAACGTTTTGCTAATTAAACTGTGTAATTAATTAATTTTTCTGGGAGATATGAAAATTTTTAGGTGCGCGTATGGCAGCTGCTCCGCGCTCCGATATATATAGGCTCGACAAGGCGGCCGGCTATTTTTTAAGACTCGTCGGTTGGTCTAAGTAAGTTTAATGGCCAAACGCATGAGTGCGAGTAATAAATCATTTTACTGTAGTGATGAAAAAAAGCTTGGATATTTAGTTTCAAAATGAGGTATATCGAAGCTCCATACGATAATGAGAAGGCGAGTTACGAGTTAAAAAAAACTTGGGAAAACCGACGTTTTTCAATATTTTGCCCTGATTTTGCAATATCTCGGGGTCAAATCAAAAATAAGTTTGGTCGTCAACGTTTTTTTGCTGATTTGCTACGGTTTTTATACAAACCCTTTGAATTGCTAGTAACCACAATTTCGGTAAAAAAACGACTTTGACGTTCGGATTCTGCGGGTAAAAATACACCGAAAACGCTTACTCGTGGAAGTCAACCCCCCCATGGCTGCGTGACGGAACTTAGAGAGAGAGAGAGGGAAAGAAAATTATCTAACTCGATACACATATTGTGCAGAGCGCCGTGACTCTCCTTGGCTACTCCATCCGATGTTCTCGTCAGTCCTTAGCGCGCGCTGTTCACGAGTAGGTACACAAACGCAAAGCACCACAGCCCCGAGAGGGACGGACTCGGACCCAACATCTTTTGTCGTTTCTTCAGCTCTGCCAGTTTTTCCTTTAGCTCCGTTCATTGTGAGTATATATGTCCAACTCTTTAACTCCAGTTCAGAACAAAAGACAAATTTTTATAATCTCCGTACGTCAAGTGGTACTTGAATTCGCGAGCAATTTGCATCGGGTGGAATTGATCGTTTTGCAAAAGCGCAGCAATGCGGAATCGACGCGCTCAACCGATCCCTCCTCCATTTCTTAGACGTAGGTACGCGCATACATATAATACATCACGGGAAAAAGAGCGCCCGCAGCAGCCCTCGCGTTTATATAGCCGCAACTCTAGCATGTGTACATCCATATAGGTGCGTTAAATTGCAACATCCGCATGGGGTATATGTATATAATGTACCGTCCGTATAGTTGCTCGCCTTCCCGCACGAGTCTCAATTGCAAGGGTACATATACGCAGCTCATCGAATTCCTGTACATCACAAACGAGTTTCTTCTTCTTCTTCTTCCGTGCGAAAATCACCCCGAGCTCCGGCTGAATGGTTCGCTCCCGAGCTTTCCGCGAATCGTATACTCCGGAATAATCGACAGCAGTACAAATCTTCACAGCTTCGTCTATGAAAGGTACATACACTTGGATCCCTCGTGAAAATAACGAAACGATCGCTCGTCTTTTTAAAGCCCAACCAAACGAATTCAAGAGTAAACGACGCGTTGACTATGTATGATGTAAATTGTTTTCCAAGGAAAAAGGCAAACGTCGCTTTTTAGGAGACAATAGAACCGATTTTTCTCTCCAGTACCGATCGCACGTGACGCGAGTATATGCCAAAGTTGTCGTTAAAGACGGGAACAAAGAAAGAAGAGCATGTACCATACCACGTTTCAAGTGTCCTTATCGATGTACATTGTGAATCAATTTGCGGGCAGTAGTAAGAGAAGAGTCGCGCGAGCACGCCCACACGCACATTACACCCGTGTGTTGTTTTACGCGCGTCTAATGGGAGAAGAAACCTGATGGGTCAATTTCAAAATTTTCCTTTTATTTTTTGAACGTTAAAGTACGGGCCTCGCGGGATAAGTGTCTCTCGGAAAAGCGCCCGGTAAAAAAAAAGGAAACGCGCAACGGGCTATGAGGTTCGGTGTTGCTCGTATTCGTGATTTATTCTTAAAAACCCAGCCTGTAAAATACAACGTAACATCCACTCGCTGCGTCTTTCGCGAATTGCGCGCCTGCCTATAACGTCCGGGCCATCACCACCGCTAAAAATATGTGCCTTACAAACAATGGGTAAGCCCTTGTCACCCCATGGAGATGGAAGCTCTTTGGCGTGAACGATTGAAGTTATGGAAAAAAATATCTTCTTGGTACCGGCGCCGTGGACAAAAATAGAGTCCTCCCATCGACTACTACGTGAATCGGCATCATATATGTGTGCCGCTACACGCCACACGTTTCCGGTTGTGGAGCCACACGTGTAGATTGAAGCTCAAGAGCTTAAATATCAGGGGGGGGGGGGGCTATATACTCAACTGACAATGAGCAGCTCTGTGTGCTCTCAAAAGACATAATGATATATCGGCCTTTCAACGCGGGATTCCGATAATCGGCAATACTATAAATATATGTACTTTAACTGGTACGGGCTGATGCAGTGTTGCGAATCTTGAGACGATGAGTAGAAAATTTTCCACATGTGTGCTTATACTTTGTCACTTCATTTACAAATACAGCAAGTACGTACCTACGAGGCTTTTACAGGTATACCGTTCAAAAGCTTCTTGCGGCAGAGGGGGGGGGGTGACCATGTCGTTGTAGGGATAAAAGTGCTTCTCGCAAAAACAATAAATTTTCGTCTTTTCTTCAACTATGTGCTACGTGAATTTAAATAGTAACGGTAATTGTAAGGGGCGGAGGTGAAAAAAAAAAAAAAAAAAAAGCTGTACAGCTGAGAGTTGGATGGTGACGCTTGATTTTACTGAATGAGCTTTTCAAAGAGCGCGCACTCTCTCTTTCGTTCTAAATATCAAAATAGAACGCTCTGAGCGCGCGCACTTGAAAGGCTCTCCGGATTCACGTAGCAGTCGTACAGGTAAATAGTTGCTTGCGCAAGCTCACCATTGTCCCTTAAAGTAAGACAAAAATTACCAGGTTTAACGAAAAAAAAAAAAAAAAAAAAGCTCTCCATGTATTCAGTGGTGTAGGTAGCTTTTTCTCGAGCGCGCGATTCATTATCTCGTGTGTGTATACAGGGGGGACGAGCGGAGTAGGAAAAAAAAAAAAAACAAAAAAAAACAAAGCAATGAAAAGGAACGAAGGGAGCTAGGAGTAAAAAAGCAAGCGTCGAGCGGTCCGATGCTTACCGACAAAGAGCCTTAGAGAGAAAAACAAGAGGAAAGAAAACATATGCACGTGAACGTGTACTCGTATATATAATAGGCAGATGGCTTCGATGGGGCTGCTGCGATCGTTTATATTATATATATACACGCACCACATGGCCCCTACATGTATACACATGCGTATATATCTTACGCCCGAGAAACACCCAAGCTCGAGACGAAGAATAAGTAGGTATACATAACGAGGGATGGAAGAAGAAACTCTCTTTTTACCGCACTTACATCTGCAGTTCTATAAATGTAGCCCCAATAGGTCGTGCGACTTTGTCTCATTTACCTTCGAGTACTCCACGGGTACGTTTACGTCAACTCTTTTACTTTTTACGCCATTCGTGCCATATTCGATGACAATAGCTTTTTTTGTTAGATCAAAGAGAATAAACAATATACACGTTTTTACCATCATGCACAAATCGATTTTTACAGAAAACGACCAACTTAATTTCGTCAATCATTGCGTGTTTTTTTTCTCTTATCAAGGTAATTTTGCATTATTTGAAATCCATCAAGTCTGTCGGTGCAACTTGTGAGTGTATAAACATTCCAAAGTGTCATCGGCAACTTGTTAATACGGGGACAAGAACATTGACAGAATGCCAAAAAAAAAAAAAAAAGAAAAAAAAAAAACGCCTCGCGCCGGTCAATAAACGATGATTAAATTGAATGGCTGCATCAGGAAAAGGCGAACGAATGCGGTTGAACTTTAAATTTTATCTCAAAGTTAAAATCCATTTGGCGATTCTCGTTTATTGATTGTACGCGTGTAAAAAATGTCTCTCGGGAAAGACCGAATTTGCCAGACCAAATAACCGAGAGTGCCGAGAAAAAAAAACACAAGTTTGTGCGGAACACCAACAGGTCGTTCAATTCTTATTCTATAGCTTTGTTGTTTAATCCTCGTTAATTCGTTGTGGGTACATATAATACATGCCCACAACACCCAAGTTACACTTTGGTGCCTTTTGCCTCCAGCATCTATCTCTACATCCGACAAGCCATTTACATGTATGTACACCTATACAAACGAGCGAGATGATAAAAAACGATAATTTTGCACGTGTGTATACTGCACTCAATTGTATACACTAGAGAATCTCATCTATACCGTATACACGAACTATTAATACTTCTCTCCATACGAGGGGTCATCGTCGGGAGCCCGACCTCGTCTCTCTCGTTCGCCTCTTAATATTTTCCCCCCTCGTCCGTCTTATCTTTCTCCCTCCTTCACTTTGGCTCATTGAATTTTAACGATAAAAGAGCGCCCCTTTGGTATTGGTATCTGTATCGCATACCATACAAGATACGCGGGACGTATTGCACTTGTAGCGCCAGCGTGTATAATATATATATAAACGGCCTTTGATCTGCACGCGCGCGATGGCATTGTCCACGCACCGCCGGATTTTCGCCTGGACGAGCGGACAATTGGAACACCCCCTTCGGGTATATGCCAAAAGCTTACAAAGAGAGAACGAGATTTGCGGGTGTCGAGTGGAACAACTGGCGCCTTGCCTGTACGCAAAATAACTTCCATCGGATTTCTTTGAGTCCGAGACCTGCCTCGTGAGATAATTATATGTTATGCGTTCATCTAGCAGGAGGTATTACCTATACATGCATCACACGTGTATATTTTCATCTTTAGTTTCGTTTGTTTTCGTTCCTCGGCAAACCAATTACCTACACCTCGTACCTTCACCCTTGTACATACTTCATCCCTGCAAAGGGGCCAATGGGTGATCGTAATGGAAAGAGGCAAAGTCAGAAGGGAAACGTACTAGCGCCGTTACGATCGTTTTTTTTTTTTTTTTTCTACTTAGTTAGTAGTATTAGGCTCAAGCTGTTGCAGGGAGTTTATGCACGAATCAAATTACGCGGAGCCCGGCAAGTATGTATGTAATACGTGCTTACCGCGCAAATCATAAAAGTTCGAAGGTAATACAAAAGCATGAGATCATTTCTTTCTCTCTTCGCTTCTCGTGTTTTGTATGTATTTAAATTCGTGAAGTGCAGAGTCGGAACAGAGCGTTTGTATTTCCAATGCGTCAATCACGAGCGCGCACATACTCATATACGCGGCAAACGAAATATGAAAACAAAGATTTTCAAACCCATTCATCATTTTATTAATCAGCGTGGCATTTCTTACGAATACATTGCTCGTTGTGTTGTCTGTACATTTGAATGGTTTTTGTCGAGTTTCAGAGTTCGACAAGTTCGCCAAGGAAAAAAGACAATCATGCTGCCCAAGTTTTCAATCACCTCGTTGCTGTGCCTCTTTTTGGTGACAATTGTGCAAGCGGAATCCAGAGAAATTACGTAAGTTAAAGTTTGCCTTTTTTTTCATATGTTTCTCTTTTTTTCAATCAGCGTCAATTGAATCATATGACATTTATGCAGGCTTCAATTGATGGCTCGATCGGTCGATTGAAGAACGAGTGCACTAATCCCATGTACATACAATGTGTCATATACGTGATGATTAGGGGTACCAATCGAACCATTTAAGCAGTAAAAATACGATAAAAGTTCATTCCGGTGAAACGAAAGTTCACCCATATAATGTTGAACAACGATTTGTAGAAGAGTGTATATTTTCTAAATTATTTTAAAAAATTTTTGGAGGCCAACTAACGTAAACAGTAGCAGAATCGGCATACACATATATTAAAAATAATACTTGTCTCAACAGGCACGAGGACATAAAAAACGCGATGCTGAGTATGGTCCACATGCTGCGGGAGAACACGGAAAGGTAACTTTTTTTATCTACAAACGAAAAACAATACCAATGAGGGAGCAAACGCTACAGGAGGAGGACATGTAGTTTGTCTTGTTGTGACTGATTTAGGGACGAAGAAAAAATTTATAAAAATACGTTAAGATTTTGTAAATGTTTCTCGTTAGGTATACTCAACCGATCCGATTTTTATCCCTCAGTTTTGAATCGGCGTATTAAATTTACCAAAAATTGGTCACAGCAAAAGAAGCTCCACGTATCCTTATCTGGAATTAATGTGCTTTTTCAACATCTCTCGATTTTTTGTTCCCGACCAAACAAGACTCGAGCGCCATGAAGCGAGAGACCGACAAACCTCCCAGCAATTGCAAAAGAGCGTCGTGCAGCTGACCAAGAAATTTTCATCCCTTGACAACATAATGGCCTTTTTCGACAAACTGGAGGATCGCGCTACTGGCATCGAGCAGGCCATCGCCCAGGTAAAAAAAAAAAAAAAAAAAAAAATTGCCTACTCGTTGGTCAAGGGCGTGATTAATCATACACTTGGCAGAGGGACGAGCGGGAGCGGATCCAGATTCAAAAGATGACGGACACGTTGGAGGACCTGCAGAGTCGACTGGAAGGCTGGGCCACGGAGATCGAGTCCAAGGTCGTCGAGGGCACGAGCAAAGCGTTGCCGACGATTCCAACGCCGGTCGACCCCTCGCCGGACATCCTGGCGAGGATCGAGGCCAGCGAGGCAAAGATCGCCGACAAACTCGAGAAGAAGCTCGACGAGCTCGGCACCGGCCTACAGGCAAAGATCGCCAAGGCCACCAATCAGACCGTCGTAAGTAACGCGCTCGCCGAGCTCAAAGAGATCGGCAAGAAAATCGAGGACTTGGCCCAAGCCGTGGGACAACTCGAGAACGCGGCCGCAGTCACGCCGACGGCAACGAGCGGCGCCGCGACCGAGGACCTCAACGTCAAGATCGGCCTCGTACAGGAGCTCTTGCACAACGCCCTCGACAAGATTCGGGATCTTCCGAGGTTTGATTCTTTTTTTTCTATCAATTGAAAATAGAAAAAGAAAACGAACAAGCGAATAATGCGTTTGGTCGTCTCCGTCAGGATCTCCGAGGTGCAAACGATGCACAACGAGACGCAAATGTCGCTGGAGGAAGCGAGGCACGCCCTGCAGGACGCGGTCGTCCAAGGAAACGAGGGCATCGCGACTAGGATGTCCGAGAACAGAGAGGAGGCCCGAGACTCCGTTACAGCGCTGAGGTAAACTTGATTGACAAGTTCGATCTTATTCTATTTTCTCTTTTTGTGGAAAAACCAAAGAAAAAGAAAAAAAAAAAAAAAATGAAAAATCATATCAGATCCGACATGGCGAACCAAGCAGAGCGCACGAATCAAGAGCTGCGCGACCTCGGCAAGGGCCAAGCGGTCATGGTCGAGATGGCCGACCACGTGTTGGACACGAAGAAGCGTCTCGAGCACGCTTACAAGATAATGCGCGAGGTGAGCGAGCTCGTGATGGTGCAGGGCTTGAACATCAACCACACCCTCAACAGCCGCTTCGACGGCATATCCAACGACATAATGGACAACCAAAACGGCGCCCTGGCCAATCTGACCGTAAAAATGGAGCAGGAGATGAATCAAGTTTGGAGACAGATAAACGTCATGTACCAGCAGATGATGGAGAGCGCCAAGGCCCTTGACAAGCTCCACGAGCAGAACGAGGCCTACGTTAACGGCACGACCTCGACGATGGACGGCATGGAGAGCAAGGTAATAACCCAACGGTACTTGAGACTACGACCCAGAACATGATGCGGTTGGGGAAAAATCGATATACCTACATACTACATTGTTGTCCCCGTGTTTTCCACAGGTCGGCGAGATAACGAAGCGCATGAGCGAGGTGGACACGAACCTCAACTACCTGCTGGGCCGGTTGTCGCTCGTCACGCAAGAGTTCAATCAGATCAAGCTGGGCCTCGGGGCTGCCTTGGACAACATCAAGGCCTCGTTCAAGGAGGTCCAGGAGAAGGCCAACGATCTCAGCAATCCGGGACCCCACCCGGTGCCCCAGAACTACAACGAGCTCGACTCGCCTGACGACGCCGAAAAACCGACTCCTCCGTCTACCTAAAGTATATTTACATATATACACGCACATGTATTACATTATAATATATTATGATGTCCTGCACGTGTGTAATAGGTATATTTATGTATACACATGACACGTCATGTATTGTGCGTATTTTGATGATGATGACTCGGGAACGTGGCTCGGCATAAATATGGAAAAAAAAAAAAAAACAGAATTCATATAGTAGTATAAATAGGTCGATCAAGCTGTTTCGCGTGTATGTGTGGGTTTTATGCGAGTGCGTTATATATACATACATACATAATGATGGGACGAGAAGGCCGTTTGTCAAATCTTTTGTTTCATCGCGTATACTTATACATATAGATACATTTTTTTCATCCGGATATGCTGCAATACCTATATACAATAATCGTTGGAGGATGAAAAAAAAATTATCGTGCATTTTAAGGAAGGACTATTTGAGAGAGTAATAAGCCGCCAAAGCTGTCATATTATGTCTACCGATGTAAACGAACAATGTATTATCGTCAAATTGGTGCGACAACAATATATTATACAATATATAGCGTAAGTGCATCATCGCGATCGACGTAGTTATGCTTTTTCGCTGTATCAAGTGTAGTGAATAAAAATTCTTTTTACGACTCTTTATATGCTTAGTTTTATTTTTTCTACTTGAAATCTTTCATTGAAATCGTGAAGCACTGTTGAGTAAAGAAAAAATATAATGATTCTGGTTGGTTGGTTCAGAATAACGTGCGGTATGGGTTTCTGGCGAGTTTGCAGAGATACATCGTTTAAGAAATGTTCAACACATATGCTTATGCATGGGTCGCAGTATCACAAATCTCTATTTAGGACTGCGTTTGAACTAAAAAAAAAAAAAAAAATTTTAAATGCAAAAAGAAATATTGCGCCCATGTGATAAGACATTCTGAAGTGCACTTATGAGGAACAGTACTTGAAAACACGTATAAGATACTAATGATAAATTCTACTCATCTTTTAATAATAATTCAATGGACTTTGGAGAATTCTGGAGGCATTATTCAAAGAATTGTTTATCATGAATCAGCGTGTACTTTCAATTGATCCAGAAATAATCAGTGAAGCACTCCAAGGTTTGTCTAGTAATTTTAAAAATAAGAATAAAATACTCCCGAATGAGTATAGGAAAGGAATGAAGAGGAGTAAGAGAAAAACATGCACCAAAATTTTTAGAGTCAACTTGGTTTAATAAGTCCCCCCTAGTATTATACATAGTTATGATAATAGTATGATACAAGTAATAGTACACAATAGTTTTTAATGATTATGTACCCAAGCATCATGAGAAGCACTTGGACGATGTTCAGACATCCTAGTTACACTTTTTTCTTTCTTTTTTCTTTTTTCATTTTTAATTCATATTTCGGTTTTTGTTTCGGTTCATACGCATTTTTGTCGTCGTCTTAAAATTATTCACTCGTCCACTTCATATTAATCCGTTTAATTTCGATAATTCTTTTTTTTCTTCCTTCCATTGTTATTATGTATTTCTCAGGACGCCATTGCAGTTGTGGTAACTTCCAACGGTTACAAAGAGAAAATCGGCGCTAACCACTATGAACACGAGCCCACCATATACTTCTTCTTATACATATATTTACTCTTTATTTATTTATTTATTTATTTATATGCATGTTCACGGCAAACAAATGCTCGATGAAAATTTAAAAATCTCAATTATACCCGCGCAATCGTCGCATCTCATTGTTACAAGTATATTATAAATAGCTTTAATAATGTCTTTTTACAATGTTCCTCCTGAAAAAATCGCGCGTATGTGGGTAAGTATTGTTTCTTTGATTATTAATTTGGTTTTTTTTTTTTTTATAGTTGTGTATTATATGTCAGCGAAAATTCGGGCAAGGGAAAAAGAAAAAAGAGACTTTTTCCTGCGATCCACAGTTATAACTCTATTTTATCCATGCGGTCGGTCCCCTTTTCTTTTTCCTTTATTTTTACACATCACTTACACATTTTTTTTTAATATGTACTTATATATACTTTCATCAACGCTGTGAAATGGACATTTGATTTGGAAATACCTCTATAGCACGAGTCAAAAAAAAGGGTTGTTTATAATGAAAAAGTTTTTTTAAAATTTTTATTAATTATTATTATGTATATGTCTGCGACGACAAACCAGAGACTTAATTTTTTTATGCAGTCGATAGCAATCTTCGTCCTTAGAAATAAGTGAACGCACGTTCATAAGGTGAGCCGTTGCGATGAGAAAATCAAGCGGAATGTTTTATTTATTTATTCATTTACCTTTTCGTTGGAACATGTGTAAGTACTAGACTTCTTAAGTTAATAATATTTTTCTTAAAGAGTCTTTGAACGAAAAATTACTGGCCACAGGATATCAAATGCTTTTTAAAAAATTTTAATTGTTTTCGTAAGTACTTTGACTCGCAGAATTATCAATGGTTAAAAATATGTAAATCTAAGCGATTCAAAATTTCATGTTTCGTGTTTTTTGTGCAACTTTTTTTCCTTTTTTTTTTTTCTTTCTTTTTTTTTTATTGAAACGCGTATTTTTTTTATAGATATATGCATGTGGTGATATGAAAATACTAGCCAAATTCACACACTTATTTTGTATCATTTTACGAAGCGAAATTTAAAGATATTTTTTTACAAAATTTGTAGAAAATTTGCAAATCGCGTGTATACATATGTTTTTGTTTTGTTTTGTTGGAAACTCTTTTTGTTGATGTATTCATACAGATAAATTCAAGCGCCTGTACTTAACGCGCAAGTACGTTGTAAAATAAAAATCCAAGGATGTTAAAGTTAATTCCTCATCTACCCAAGCAATCTTAGAGTGAACAATTGAATTTATCGATTAAATAACTATCGTTATATTATCATTTTTCTCTTTTATAAAAATCGTTTTGTCATCAAGTTCATGATTGTGTCGCGTTGGTACACTCACACACGTTTCAAAAACACTAATCGGAAGAAACAACCGCAGCTGGCAGAACTTACTTATATCAACCTCGGGGGAACGAGGGAATGAGTAAAATCGTCATCGGCACTTTATTTCCGTAAATAATGGAAAATAATAAACATATACGTGTGTACGTAAAAGTATCGTTATTTTGCAGCCCCATTCGCGTGTCCTTGAATCGTATATTAAATACATAAACGCTGCAGCGACACAGTGTCGGAGTGGGCCTCGCGCTTTAAAGCAATCGATATCGCCGTGGCCAATAAAAGACTCTTTCGCTCACGATTGGCATTCGAGTGGCTCTAACTTCTTTTTTACATGCTCGACTATATTTTCCCTACGCAGACACACACACACGTGTGAAAGCTTACTTTGAGACAATTATAGTTTTGTATGATTCCGCCCAACTTTAATTATTTTTTTGATCATATTTCTCTATTTTTTTCCATCTTGTTAAGTAAATCATGAATTTTTTATCGTGGCCAAGTATTCACTTACATCTGCTTTTTTTCGCAAATTGTGATTTTTTTTTTTTATTACTTAAGCATCAGAGCTTTTGATTCCTGCGTTATAACTTAAAAAGAACAAGACGTTGATGTGGTGTTTAACTTATAATTTTACTGTTTTTTTTTTTTTCGTGTACTCGACTCCCCTGAGGATAGTTTCTTTGATTATTAGAAGACTGCTGTGTTTTTAATGGTTTTCTCCCCTATTTTTTTTTTCAACTAGTCACAAGCTGCTTTGATTAATATTTTGCATTAGACTATTTCGATCAGACTCACAAAATTGATTTGCAATGAACTCGGTTAAAGATTATGAATGATAATATTTATTTATTTAGTATTGTTAGACGGAAAGTATAGTACCATAGTAATTTCTCAAGTAATTATTTTTCTAGTGTCTGTCATGAATGTCGCACTGACTGAAATTGCATTTATTTCAAGTAAATGTACGAAAACAAAAATAAAATTTTTACATCAAATAACAATTTATCAGATCAAAGTGAAAGATTGTCGTTTTGGATCGTTATACTTGTAGCTTTCAAACTTCTCGCACTACAGATGACAAACAATTTTATAATTAATTATTTTATATAATATTAAGAATTTATGTAAGCCACTACATTTTCTAACGATTCCTCCTACATTCGTTTATATTACGTTTGCGCTTATTACTTTTTTATCTCAAATTTTTTCCATAATTGTAATTTCGCCATCTAGGAGAGTCGAGACATATTGGTTAATTTTTCAAGTAGAGTCTGCTTTACATACATGTATATTATGTAGGTCCAGATAATTTATGGCAAATATTGGAAACCATTTAAAAAGTAAGCTGTACAATTTAAAAAAAAAAAAAAAGAAAATTATTTGACAGTGAACGAGTTCTCAGGCTTTCGAGCATTGTTCACGTCAACCTTTGTATTATTTATGCATGTACACACAATTTTTGCAATTTTATTTTTACACACGTGCAGACGATGCTGTGTATTTACCTTCGTATATTATGTTGAAAAATCGGCGGAGAAGCAATACGCGTTAATGGGACAATTTTCGACTTGCGCATACGCGTCATTTGGTTTTATTTATTCTCTCATTCATTCGTTTCATTGAAGTTTTTTTTTTCATATACAGATTAATTAGAACACAGTGCAGGTACGAACATGAATCCAAGAGGTTCATGTGAGAATAAAACGAAATAATAATAATTGAATGCATATAGAAAAATGTTTATCTGTATACACGCCAAAATATTATTTTAAGCGGTAAAAATTATTCGCAATATACGTTTTTGTTTTCTCCATGAAATATCTCAGCTCGGCTTTTTTAAATTTAAATCATTATTTTTCGAGTTCTATTATATGTGTCTTTTATCGGAATAAGTATTCCTTGAACACATTCGAGAATTTTTTTTTTCGTTACATTAAACGCGATTTTGGGATATGATTGATCGATATAAAATAATACAAGTTAATAGGTGAATTTTTTGTTACTTATGAAATTAATGCTCGTAAAAAATGATGCTATTTTTGCAGACGTGTTGTCTTTCGATTTAGGCAAATAATGATACTTTATTAAGATTTTTTTTTCTACAGTATTGCTATGAGTTTTAATGCCAAATTTTTCACTTAGCCGATTATTGCCTGGACATGTGATATTTTTTTACATGCTATATATATGAGCTTAGTACATTCGATTCTTTTACAAATGGGTTTTGTAAAAGTCTTATTACGAGGCACCAAATTTCGGTACTTTGTAATATTTTATCGTAATTTTTACAAAATCAGCACGAAACGTTTAATACATAAAATTCGATGAATATTTCAATAACGAGACTGAAAGCAAATTAAAATTAATAAAATTAATATTCGTTACAATATGTTTTAGGGCCCCTTCAGAGATAATCGGACATTATCAACAAGCTATTTACACACTTCAATAAACAAGATGTACATTTTATACATCGGAATTTCTTTTAGTCTATAGTATGGGATCCTTAAAGTTTACTTGTAACAAAAAAATAAAATAATAATAATCTATATGGGTCTAATTGCAAGAAGAAATAAATGTTAGCATTAATTTGACAAGCACAGATCGCACGTAATCGAAATGACAAACGCGTATCATTTTATACTCAAATCAGGTCCCTTGATAATAAATAAAAAACGATTTTTAAAAATGTAGTGTACATAACGATAGTTAATCAAATAATCACACACATCAAATAATCATACACAATAATCAACGATTTTTATATCTCTCGACTACTTTACAATTAGAAGCTCAGCCTTGGTTAGAACTTTTTTTACCCGTGAATGTTTATTTATTTATTTATTTATTGATTTTTTTTGTTAATTCGAAAATCATACGTCACACCTCGAATTTAATCCTCCCCTCGCAATCGATAAAAAGACATAACTATACACACTAATGATAATTCAGCAAAAATCATTCCTATAAAAATAAAGTTTAAAAAGCTCTACGCATTAGAACAAATATAAGAGTCGCTCGTGGATCTCTTAGGACACGATCCCTCGAGACACACCCCGCATGTACGTCGTTTTTCTTGATTCCGTTGACCGCACACGCGTGATTCTCCTGTTATGAATTTAATTACATTTTCCACGAGTACCACATTTCTTGAATTGAGGGTCAACAAACCTCTGGTACGACACGGGTTTGTAAACGTATACGAGCGACAACGATCCGGCAATCGCTGTCCCTGAACTTATTGTTTTTGTTTTTTTTTATGCACAAATCGATTTTCATGACAAGTATTTGTTATTTTTATAAATATGCATATACGCGTACAGATGCCACCACGAATAAATGTATTTTAAGACACAGGCAGTTACTGCGTACATCTCATCTATTTTTTTCTCTATTTTTCTCTCGCATTTACTTACATACTCATCTCAGCTCTTAGCTGTGTATCAAAGTTTTGAGAGGTGCCTACTAAACACATACTTTACAGACATTGTAAGTGATTAATTTTACAATATGACTGTTTTTTTATATATATATATTTCATACTTTTTCTCGTGTACAATTGTTCATCTTACATCATTTGCATAATCTTTTATAATAAATTTATAAATTATTCAATAACTATTAATTAAATAACAACGCCTTTCTCTTCGCTTTTTTCATTTCTCTATTATTTATTTATAATGGCTCACGCCTGATTCGTTATCGCGCTTTATATTTACCTTGGACTTGATATACATGTGTAGTACGTGCGCGGACGAGCAGATTACTTATATGTTAATTTATTTTTTTGTAATTTTAGTTTTACATGATTACCATATACAACCAGCCCAAATGCATATGATTTTTCTCGTGTCCATGTGTCTCGCTGTTACTTTCTCTTTACACGTTTTTCACTAGAAAATTAATTAATAGATTATACGCTGCATGTATAAACTCTTTTTTAGTCGCAATAAAAAAATAGCAAATTGTCGTAAAGAACTTTTAAAATGACGTTTCAAGATCGTTTATTCGTGTTTATATGATTTCCTTATTAGATTTTATTTATTTTTCAAATTGCGATACTATTAACAAATATATCTTTCGACATTGAAAGGAATGTTCGTTCAAGTTAGTAATTAATATGAGCGAAATTATGGTTTAGTCGAATATTAATGACGATTAATATTATTTCTTAAGAGTCCCTGTTTAGGCATGAATAAAAATATTCAAATATAATACGGAATTATCGATAGTTTTAAATGATTTCTTTGATTATAATCAGGTATAAAATGGTGGAATCTATAAAAATGCATTGCCAGCATAAAAAAAGCCCGTTATCTTATTTGATTGAAACAAAGCTATGCAAGTGCTTAATGTAATATTAAAAATTTTCAAAATATTCAAACAATTTGTGTGTCTATAAATGCAATATGCATCGATTTTATTCAAGGGTACGTGTGAAAATGGTACTGGACGTTTTGTTGTAAATCATCGCGGAATCGCTTATTTTTGTATTTTTCGTATTTTTTAAAGTCATCGTCTAAATTTTTATAATCAGTACATGCACGTGTATTGAGAGATACACGTACACGTACGATATTGAGAGATTTTCAGAGACTCAGCATCAACGTGACATCAAACACCAACCTATTATCCCAACTGCCCCGAAAGATATTGAACCTGACATATATAGCTCAACTCGATCAGTTGTTCCATAAAGCTCCAAAACTTACGGAAATATTGAATTTAGCAACTCTCAGATCCCCAAATTGTACAGAGAAATACATACACAATCTAAAGATATGGGTAGATTACCAATGGTGCATAATGTGCGAGGATCAACCATGCAGCTTTATTATGATAAGGACGTGTCATCACGATCCAATAGTGTTACTATCTCGAAATCAAGGAATGAAAGGATGTCACGTACGCTCGAAGAGCATGAGACTAAATTCTCCCTAACTAATAAAGAAGTCATTTCAAGAATTAACAGATCCTCCGCTAGATTTAGAATTACTGGGAGCTCGACTATGATTGATGGATTGAAAGAGTCATCATGTTCAATATTTAATTTCTTATCATGTAAGAACGTTAAAAATCTGAAAAATAAATGTAATGAACCAGAAAATTATTCCATGTACTCACGACGTACAATGAAGGAAGTTATATTTGGTGAAGACAGTTATTTACCAATGGATTTAGTTCGCTTAGGCGCTATACCAAAGAATTATAGTTTAGAATCTAAGTTTAACAGAAATATTATACCTAAAACTGTATATCAAGCCGACGATATTAATTTTAAATGTACTTTCGAAGAATACCTTCAGTACGTAATTAATGCATTTAGCCAAAATTCCGAAATATTATTAAGTATAGCTTATCACAGTATGGCCAAGTCTGATACCTTATGTAATGGCTTCATGAACTTCACGAAGCGCAAAAAAAGGTTTGTTCTGGCAGCTTTTACGGAATGACAACCATTTTCGAAGCTTGCACGACCTTATTCCTTATTTAATCGTTAGAACGTAAAAAATTTCTAATTTTAAAGCTCTGACAAAATTATTACGTTTGTTTAGTATTATCAATAGCACTAATTGTGTGTATAAGCTTCTAGTTGCATAGCGTGCTCAATTTTTTCATATGTTCATATGCAAAAACTAGCTATTTTGTATGGTTTTTTTTTTTTTTTTTTTTTTTTTTTATGTCAATGACAGCTATATTATCATTATTAATATCAATCCAAGAAAACTACGAATATATAGCTAGTAATTTAAGGTCAAGACAAAATATCGGTATTTATGAAGTTTGTACGTAAATAAATAAAATAAAAAATTGTAGGGTTGAATTCTAATTTACGTCAATTTAAAAATTTCTTAATTAAAAGATCGAGATTTTTAAATGTCTATGGTCACTTGGAATAAGGGCATCAAGCAGAAATTTTATGGATCATTCACATTATCCATCCTTAGCTTTTCTCACTCTAAAAAATTCAACAGATGATACTCAGTGAAATTTTCTGTGTTATTTTCAAGCTTCTTTAGTAATTTGGGTTCGAAAAACTACTCGGATTTTTGTGCTAATCTGAATAATAGTACGAATGTAAATTAAATAGCAATGTAAAGTAAGTAAAAAATCTTTTTTAATACGAGACATCCGCCTTTGTTCAAATTGACATTGAAATATGCGTGTTTTCGGCTCATTCCCTTTTATTAAATTAACAATAAATTTACTGTGCATTTGTCTGCGGATTTTTTTTTTTTTTTTCTTTTTTCATTAAAAAACACAAAATAAGGCAAAAATGCCAGTAATTATCGGGATGTCGGATACCGACAAAGTTTCACCAGCGTTTTTTCTTAATTATATCATTATGTATTATTATTATTATTCTTAATTCGTACTAGACGCAAAAACGATAAAAGTTATTTCGTTAAATTCAGCTATATGCACTCACAATCCATCAGTTGCGGCAATCGTCTGTGATAATGAGTCTTCTTCGGAGATGCTCTTGGTGTAAATTACGTATTTCAATAACCAGGAAGTGGACCCAGCCAAACCTCTTGGTATCCCGTTTGGAGAATGATCGTTTGCGCATTATTGCAGTCGCTAGGAGGAACAAGTGTTTCCACAATCAGAAGAGGTACCACCAGTTTTCCTCTTTACAGAGCAAGCATGCAAACAACGAGACGAAGACGTTCCAAAGCACAGCATCGGCACACCTTGCACGCAAGTAGAGTAATAACAACAGAGGGATGGAGGGAGCGAGAGAGAGAGAGAGAGAGAGAGTCCGTCCTTGTGATAATAGCAACGAGTCACGTATGGTGCGAACGAAAGAACAGCGAATAAGGACACAAAGCTCTCTTTCTCTCTCGTAGCGGCAGCAGCAGCATAGCAATGGGATGATGGCAATGATGATGCACTTTCCCTTCAATCATCTCCAGCTCTCTTGCTCACTCCCTTTTTCATATATGCAGCCAGCTCTATCCCACAATCAACAACCAATGTGTGATAGTGTCAACAGCTTCAGCAGCAGTAGAGTGGCAGCAACAGCAGGAGTAGTAGCAGTGGTCGTGGCTGTGCCAAAGTCACTCTTCCTCCCTGGAGGCCAGCCGCGGTGTGGGCGCTGGACTATGGGAGGCCGAGGCCGAGTGCTAGCTGGTGTTACTGGAGGCAGACTTGCGCAGCGTGCTAGTCCGCTTGCCGCGCCTACGCGGATGCGAGTGGTCCTAGCTACTCGTCGAGGCTATTGGACTGACAGGGCTGAGGGGACTTCGCCCCGAGTCCCTTAAACAGCCGGTCAGTGTCAACACAAGCTTGCGGCTGCCCGCGTGATCACGATGCTCGCACAACCAAACGCCTTGCCACGTGCCTAGCGCCAATTTGCCTTCCGTTATTGGGATGCTCAACGATGAGCCCAGAAAGCACGCCTTCACGTGCGCTGGCTGAAATAAAAGCGTGATAATGCTATGTAATTACTTGTTCTAAATACTCATTCGAATATTCAGCATATACTTATTCGAACTAAACTATAAAAAAAAAATAAATAAATAAAAAAAACCATAAATTTTGCTTAGACAGTTACAAATATCGATTTATTTATATTTGTACAAGTATTAATGGAGCCCTATTTACAAACATCAAATTACAAATCACTCATCTTGTAATCTAATCAATGGATTTTAGTAAACGTAATATTAGGCATAATCTATTTCTTATCAAACTTTTTTCACCCACACTCAATTAGATTAAGTTTTATATCAAAATACTATTTATAAAAACTACTGATAATTTATCTGTATACAATAATCGTTACGAAATGCGAGTTTATTAATTTAAGTGCTCCAGCAAAATATTTGTACTCTTAATTTTAAAACAAAAATCACAAATATGGCTTGCAGTAAACAAGAAGTATAGTTAAGGGCCAAATCTGTGACTCTCCTTAACCAGCATAAACATAAATTCCAAAATTGTTAGTAGTCGTAATAATTTACCATATCATCAGGCCCTTCACAACTATGCCTGTAGGGCAATCCTTCAGGAACTATTTTGTTAAGCATCATTTCCATGTCATCTCTCACATCTGGATCCCAACTTTCATTCAGCGCTAAACTGGCTGAAGTGTGGAGAACTGAAAAATTAAATCATATGTTAATAAAATGAAATGAAAATTATCAACGCAAATAGCAAGAAAATATGTTTTTCACAAATATTTTACAAAACTCAATGAGTTATTCAAAAACGTATTTTGACTTTTGGCCACCATCATTTAATTCATAATGATTCATTGAACACCACTTTTCAAATGAATGCCTTTTAAAGTTATTTTCATTGATCCTGAAAAAATATATAATAACATTTGCAGAAACAATAAATAATCAAAGACTCTTGTAACGTGATTGTAACAGATTTTAATTTTGCAAAGTCATTGAATTATTTGAATTCTTGAAAATCTGTTATGTAAATTCATTAAATATTCAAAGACAATTTTAATACAATACTTGTGTGTGGTACTCTTAATTGTTAAATATACATGACTTTTTACACCAGTTTGAATTCTGCATAAAAAAAACGGTGGCCCATAACTAGCAAGTCATCAAGGATTTCGAAATCCAAATGCCTTGTAAATGCAAAGTGATCATGTGTTCTTGCCATCTGATCAAAGATATTATGACAGGGATTTAAGTAATTGTTGTCCTGCTTGAGGAGTACATTGAAGAATACTGTCAAGTAGTTAGCAAACAAGTGTCAAAGCATCTGTACAGTAGTTATACCCACTTTGTATGTGACAGAGGCCTACGGAGAACTGGCAGAGCTCGGGTAACTGCCTAAGTATCTCCTCGGTGACGAGGTGCACGCCCCTATGCTGGGGCCTCAGGTTGATCTTCTTCTGGAACCAGGCGTTACCAATTTGTATGCCTTTCTGGGAGGATGCCATGACTGGTACTTTCGCTGACCAGGTCTTTTCCTCACACGTTCGTTTGTTTGTTTGCACGTAAGCACTCGCGTGCTCTTTCGCACTACACTGCTCTGCTCGCGGCAAGAGAGCTAAAGTTAACTCCCACTTTCGAGCTGATGCTGCTCGTCGACGTCTCCCTACGTCCTGCTCCAGCTCTGGCGTTGATGATGCTGATGTTGACGCTGAGGTTGATACCCCATTATTATATCTTGTCTGCCGTATGTGTCTAACACACCTCGTGTTGCACTGAACCAATAGACCCGAGTATATACACGATCGACAAATAGAAAGGGTTGTGAAACACACTATTCACAGATACGAGGGATAAACTTGACAGAGACGTGGCTCTTTTTCAGTAGGCGATAACTGCTGCGGTTATACACTGCAGAAGACACCGCTGTCCTTGCACTCTCCCGTCATCCTGATATACCCTGCTGCTGCTACTGCATGACCCACTAACCGCGTAAGCGATCCACAGTCACACGACGTCGTCTGCTAGGCGCAAGGGTAGTAAAGTAGTAGATACAGAGAGTAAGGACGTCAGGTCAGACAGACAGACAGAGGACAGACAGGCTGCAGTAAGGACTTGTATATGCTCTTTCATCCTGGCGATTCCCGTAGAAGTCGTGCAGTTCGGATGTGTCCCTTACTCTACATGGGGGACGGTTTACGAGGCGCGCACGTTGAAAGGTTACAAGAGATGTAAAATAATACAACGATTGTTGGGGAACGCAAGTACTTGTCGAATAAATAAGTAGGTAGTAGGTAGTATCCAATAGTTTTTAACATATAGGTGCAGGATATAATATATTATAACGCGCGCCGCGCGCGTGTACCACCAGTTCTTACACATATACATACATACACCACCTGTATACAGAGTGTATATATATACACCCACCCCAACATTGCACCACTCCTGCCTCTCTCTATATCCTATATCCTCTATCCCTCGTTTTTGTCTCGTGTTTTTCTCCTTACTTGTATACAGCTACACACATCCCCTATACGTCCTACGAATATATACGCTTGTATTTGGCACCATATACATATATCCACTTGCTCCTCTGCTCTGCACCTTGAAATATATACCTCTCTTATTATCCTCTTCAAAGCCCTTCTTCTAATTCCTCCTGCTTCATGCTATCCTTGCCATTTACTTACTCGACCGAAAGGCCTCTCTTTCTCTGATATGTACGTATACCTATACGAAGTTGTAAAAACCTCGCGTGTAAGTATAGGTATATATAGGGAATAAGGGATAAGGGGCAGATTATTATAAGGGATAGGTACCATATGTAATAAGTAATAATAGGTATATTGGCCAAACTAATATGATATGCAATGTATGTTATGTACTATATGTACGTGTATGAAGGGTTAATTAGTTGAACCAAGCGAGGTTTTGGGTTGTCGAGGATCGGGCCTCATGGCAGGTATTATCAAAATATTTACACACCCTCGATACGGCATGGCCGTGAGTTTGCATCCATGGGTCATATGTCTACATGTAATATTATTAAGTGTAATGCGGGGGAGTTATTATATCACCCCTAAGTTCGTCCGTCTCTCTTTTATTCTCTTGTCCTTATATATTAAAGGTCTACCTGTATGTCACACAATTTTTTTCACATTCCGTGGGCATAATATAATATACACACATACAATCTGCATACACGTAAAGTATTACTGCAAGTGCGAGAGATCTATTTTTTTTTTTTCTCTTTAGCTTTTTATCTCCCCACTCCCGCGTTATACGGGGAGGATCGCTGGTGTGCCTCCCGCAGCCGCTGCTGCAGCAGTAGTGCTGCTGCCACCACTTTTCACCCCCTACAATTGTACCTGTATGGGTATATATATGTATATGTACACTTTGCAACTGCAGATTTCTATATTTTCTTCTCGCTTGCAGTACGCACACCCTTCCATTCGATTAGAGGGGCAAGAAGGGGTCGTTTTGATAGTCAATCTCTTTATTTCGCTCATGTCAGCTATAAGCATATCGGTATATTACAACGTGTAGTGTCGAATGATTTTGAAATTTGCTCATTTTTTTTTCCTTAGCTTAACTCTTCTTGTCTGCTTGAGGAGGTTTTTGTCCTCACCTATTTTTTTTTTTTTTTTTTTTTTTACTTTTAAACTTTATTCTTGCGTCCAGTGTGTGTATAAGGGTTTCGGATTTTTTTTTTGTCCAGTATGTATGTGTGAGTATATTTAATTTATCTCCCTAAACTTGCACCTCCCAATTCTGCAGGTGGTGTACACCGCCACCTCTCACGCAATATGTACATGTATATGTATTCGTACATAATACATATACACTATATACTACTCCCTCTTTCTCTCTTCCTTTTGCTTCCTCATTCTGTATTCTTCTTTTCTATTTCTTTTACCTTTTTTTTTTTCTTTCTTTCTTTCTTTCTTTGCCATGCCTATACACGACCCTTCTCTAGCTCTGTACCACTATACCCACTTTGCTCCCCGATGGGGAGGCTTTTATGTCAAAGAAGTGTGTCAAATTGTCGTCGAAATGGGATAAACTTGGTAATTTAAGCGGTCGCTGGCTTTCTTGAAATTTTTATAACGCTCTGGCCTCCCCTTTTATTGGCCGCGGTCTCTCTTCTCTCTCTTCGATTTCGAACACTGTATGTATGTATATATACTGAAATCTATCTGTTTATCCGTCAAACTATAATATATTTACAAATTGAGAAAAATTTTGCAGTTCGTTATATTTATTTATATAATTGTCCGAAGTACAGATTTTAAACGTATTAAACAAATAATTTCTTTACTCATTTCTTCGAGCAGTACTTACATCTATTTCGTACAAAAATTATTGAATATTTATTAGATGAGATCTTGAAAATACCAAATGTTTAATAAATGCAAAAAAATATATATATTGTGTGTCTTAAAGGGCTCATTTTATCAGTATGAAATAATGTATTTAACATCAAATTTCTTTATTATTTCAAACAAAAACACATACAAAATATATTTTCAACTACGTCGAACGTCTGGGATATTTATTTGAATGTACATTTTATTTCGGTAGGACTTGAGAGAAACGTAATATTTGAGTCAAGTGACACTCGAGAGAACTATAGTTGTAACATGTAGATAATCATACTTGCGGAAAATATTTATTGTGACGTGTTCGAAGAAAATTTGTTTTTATTTTGCAGAATTTCATCTTGCAAAGTTTTCAATCATCGTTCCATACGAGTGACATCGCAGGGAGCAATGCTCATTCGCGTTTTAGGCATTTTGTAATCACCACTGGACTCGACTACTCGACATAAACTGTTAATGTATGCACTTAAAAAAAGATGAAGAGAATTTAATTATAGTCGCGCAATTTACATGGATAGAAAAATTCACAAAACATGGCCATTTTTTGCCATTTAATAACCGCAGGAACTTGTTTTGGAGCTTTAATTGTGGCTTTCATTAGTAGTACCTTTTATCTCAGAGGACAGTGTTTCCCGCTTTTGCTTGGGAAAATTGCGCGCTGTGTTACTTCAAGCAGCACACGTACGATGTACTTTTTTCCATGTAACGTTATTTAGTTCCCCTAAACACGTTTCACAGGGATTTTTTTGCCAAACAGTTGTTAAATAATCAATTGTTATAATGATTTTTTGTTCGCAAACACAATTGATTCTTATATGGGTCCAAAACTTTTTTTTTTATAGATACTTTGCCTTAGGACGCTCAAAGGTCCAAATACAAAAATGTTTCCCCCCCCCCCCTTTTCAGTTTTCAAGATAAAATTTTTCAGATTTTAAATAAAGCGTTTTCTATACAAACACATCAGAGAAACACCTAACGATCTAAGGGTGATTTTTGAGAAGATAATGGAAATATATTTATTTGAACATAATTATGTTCCAGTCATCCGTTAATAACAAAGTCTCCCGTGTTACCTACTGTTACCTGTTACCAAACATGGATAGGGTCAGAGTTCCTTGTTACCTACAGTAGACAACAACGATATCTTTATTTTCGTAATTGCTGATCACCATCAATCACATATAGAGATTGAAGATGTTGTTATTTATTATTGTCTGTCTCCAATTCCAACAACATATCTAAAAAAAAAAGATATATAAACAGGTAAATATAAATATATTAGAAAAAGAGCAAATTGTAGGTGGCAGTACAGTCCTACTACAACAATTAAAGTTGTCTCGGGGCTGGCCGGTGCATGGGGGGCTCGGGTTTAAACTTTAAATTATGGTCTAGACGACGCGACGCGTCCGTCGAGAGAAAGAGATGGTGCAGTACTTATATATATGTGTCGAGCTGTCGAGTCTCAGCAGAAGTTGTATATCTCGTAACAGCCAAGGCCAGTCGCGTCAGGTCGCTTCTCGCGTCTATTTACGGGCTTTAGTCGCCAGAGCCCCTGCTGGTTTATTTAATTTATAGCTGCTAACTTTTATTTCAAAAGTTATCAGTTTATATTTCGGTTTTCTTCGAGAAAGGGTGGATTTTTTAAAAGTTTGCCGTGCCCGTGCAATGTGCACGTCCTTTCCAATGGTGCTCTCTTTTCCAATTTTAAGGGTAAGGATAGGTGTGCAAGAATGTGTCGAGTTTATTATATGATTGTGGCTTTTTTTTAACCCGATTAAATAAATAGTTACATACATCATAATTTCTTATACCTGCGATACTTGAAAAATCTGCTGTTGTGTGTGCTAATAGTATTTTAATGGGCCTACGTATGTGCATATCCCAGAGCCAGAGTACTTAGAGTAGTAGACCGATTGATTTTGCCCTTTTTACATGCGTTTTACTGATGTGTGTCTCCTTTTTTTTCCAAGATGTATATACACTTATGACTTTTAGAAACTCGTACTCAGTGCAACACTGCTGGGTGTAGGTTCATGGAGAGTTTATGGCTCATCAATTTAATAGGAACAGATTTTCCTTGCATACTTATCTACGTGCTTCTCAATTGTAATGCCGAATAATTTTGTATCTTATTACTATGTGTGCGTCAAGTTTGTATTAAGTGTCTATATGCTTTACTGTATAAAAATATTACTGACTCGCTTTTCAGATAACAGATTACAGATTACAGATATTTTTGTTGTTGGTTAGGAATCTGTTTTTGTTTATTTGTGTTTTCGGGATAACATTCACTCACTTTTTCTGTTGAAACAAGTGATTTTGATTTCAGCAAGTAGATTTTTCATGTTTTGTAGAGTGCTTGTCACACAAATTTCATTTAATTAGCAATCAGTTTTTTTAATTGATAATTTTTTATTTTTAAGGTCGAATACTGAGTAAAGGATTTTGATTGATTGTACTAATCTTAGGTGAAAGATTTTTAACTTGAATCTTTTGGATATGCAAGAATTCTGCACAAATATTTCGGAAGATTTCTCATGACAAATTGATTTCTCAACTATGCAGATGCTTTTACTAGATTCCTGATAAGAATCCCAAATGAAGTAGTTTTACTTTGCAAGAAAAGTGATTACTGAGGAAGACATTCATTCGGAAATCTGTTCACGGATACTTTTTGCACAATGGCTGAAACACAGCGTCTACCTGTTTATGGAAGATATCCATCTTGTGCAAATAATTCTCGCCTTCAAGACAGGCATAACCGGAGGTAATAAGTTTTTTCTTAAATTTTCTTTTTTGCAATTGTCAAACATGCAACAAAAAATGATTCTTTAAATTTTTAGACAAGCTTTGATAGCAGAAAGAAATCGAAAAGCTGAAAAACCAGAGGATTTTGTTTGCTATGAGTCCAGTGATGATGAAGATGAGAATCCATCAGATGGTAAACAGTTTTTAAGGACATCGTTTAATTTCGTAGATTATGTGCGATCAAGAGAAATAGGTACGAAAGAAGTGCGTAAGATCAATCAAGAATTTGGCTCGCGTCATATTTTAAGCCATGACTTGTTCAAAGAATATTCAATTAGTTTAAATAATATGAACAAAGTATTTTGTTCGCAATGGTTAAGTGAAAGGCAAGTTGTGTTTGGTACCAAGTGTAATAAACTCATGGTGTATGATGTTGCTACACAAAAGTTAGATCAAATTCCATCTCTTCATGGAAGACAAAACCCTACTGCTGGACCAAATGGATTGGTAGAACAGCAGTGTGGTATTCATTCGGTTCAAATAAACCCTTCAAGGTATTCAGTAGTTGCGTATTTTTTACATACCAATTAGAAAAAAATTACAAAACCACATGTACACTGTTTTATTTTACAGAACTCTTCTAGCAACTGGTGGAAGAAATAGCACTGAAATAGCAATATACAGATTACCAACGTTAGATCCTGTGTGTGTGGGTGAACAGGGCCACAGAGACTGGGTTTACGACATGTGTTGGATAGACGACGAATTTTTAGTCTCTGGATCCAAGGACACAAAAATGTGCTTGTGGCATATAGACAATGAAATGTCAGAAGCTCCTGAAAAAGCCGATATCCCGTCACACAGGTGCCAAATTATTTTATATTTTGAGTTCAATTTTTTTTAATAATTGCTAAATGACACAACTTCATTTTAATACAGATTAATTCAGCCTGTTACTTCCAAAGAATGTAAATCTGCACAAAAAGTACGATCTCTGCTATTTAATAAAGCCTACAAGGAAATTGCCGTTATGTCAACAAATAGTTACATTCACATTTGGTCTGCAGAAAGGTTTAGGCAAAAAATGTCCCGAAAATTGTCTCAGTGTCAAGATAATGTGTGCATAGCTGTGCACAATGAAGGACTCTACGCTATAGGTGGACGCTCGTACACACTGCTTTTGGATGCTAGAACTTTGCAATCGATCAAAAAAGTGCCCTCTAGGTATTTAAAAATTTTTAATTTCATAAAATTATGTAAAGTATTGCATGGTAAAACCATACTATTTTATCATTTTTCAAACTCACAGGTACAGTGGATGTTGTATTAGGTCAGCGAGTTTCCAGGGTTCGGTTTTAACAATAGGCACTGGTCTTGGAATGTTGATGTTTTATGATATAAGGGCTCAAAAGTATTTAGAGTCATCCATAAACTCAAACAGAACGGTGATGTTGAAAGCTTCCAAAGGCTATGTGGTAAGTAAAAGTTTTTGAAACAATATGTATTTTATGAATGTATGTTTAAAATCTACAAATTTCTTCCAGTTTCCTGATGAAGATTACATCGATGGATTTCAAAATGCAAAATATACGCCAGCTATCTACACACACTGTTATGATGCATCAGGAACGCGGTTATTTTGTGCCGGAGGTCCATTACCTACAAATCTCTATGGAAATTATGCTGGACTGTGGCAATGAGTGTATGACTATGCATTACATAGTTTCAATTTTATCAGCGTGTTTGTTATCACGGTCTGTGATGTGCATTTAAGTATCAGATGACGTGAAAAAAGTCAAACATCGCAAGAACACTAGTAGGAAAATTTAAAAAATTTGTAGGCATTAATTGTATGGTATGTAGTGTATTGATCACAATAAGCCTATATTTAATAAATAATTTAGTGTAGGTTAATTTTCTACGAAATTCAAGGAATGAATAAGGTCCGAAAAACTCGTGACTCGACAATTTTCATTTTTATATTGTGATTTTTTTTTTTGTGACTTGATATAAAGTTTGTTTATACGTATTTTCAATTGACTAAAATTATGACCACGCGAGTTTAGGCACTAGTTTAACTTTATAAATGGTAGGATGATGTTTGAAAAAAAATAATCAATTTTAATTCATCCCTTGAAACACAAGCATGCAGTGGTTATTATGTTTATCTATCACAATTTATAAATATAGATTGGAATTATAAACACATTGTTTAGCTCCTGAAAGATAACACATAGCAATACAATTGTGTTACTTTGATTTTTGATGAATTTCAATTGTATTATTAATAATATAAGGGTGTACATTGTAGTTAAACAAAAATAATTACCACTGTGTAAAGTATAAAATCAATTAACACTAAATATTATCAATCATACCTAGTGTGCATATTGTATTACATTTTGCTATGTAAATGGCATGCCAGGCGGTACTGAAAATTTATCATAAAAATATACATACACATTAATAGTCTCAAAAACCCTTATAGTAAGAAAAATTGAATTACATACATGACTTGACTTAAAAGATTGATCTCCCGCCAAGTAATTAAAACTGTAGGTGATTGAAGTTTTAGGAACTGGTGGTCAGTAAATAATAAGCAGTGATTTGATCACCGTTATTTAAACAAAAAGTAGGAAAGGCATATACTGTGATTGTATAGATACGTTTTGGCTGAGTGCAATGAGTCGAAATCGTTTATCTTATGCGTATTAATCTTGTAAAGATAAATAAATGATTACGACAATTACAGCCACCAATTATGTTCCTAAATGAGGGAAATTGCATTGGATGGTACCGAATTTATACGTAGAAAATTACTCCAATCGTTCGAAAGTCGCTCACCAATGTTATATATTTATTAATGAAGACATTGTGCTCATTTGTAATCAAATGATTTTTAATCGAATTGTACATTAAATGGAAAATATTTTTTAACTCACAAGGCAATTGACACTCATTGTACATTTATTCACTCTTATTTACAGCACTTGAAGAATTTGTTGATTTTTTTTCTTGATTCTTTCAATTGATTATTAATGTAGAGTTAGTAAAGTCATAATTATTATATTCGTTGTTTATTAATTTAAATTGATCAATGAAGTAACTTCTTTAGATTCTTATACTACGAAAAAGTTTTCACGGAGTTATTTTGTGAAGCTTTGGGCCAAGAACTTGGCAACTGTTGTTTTATTTATAATGATTCATTGGATTCTTAACAGCGATTTACAATTTTTTCTCATAGTTGTAAATGTTAAAAAAATTTTTTTTTTTTTTTTTTTAATTTATACAAAAGTATAATCAATTCATAAAAAAAAAAAAACAAGAATTTCTCTGTATGAATCAATTAAATCATTAGTGTTGATGTATGGTTTTTTTACATCATTTTCACGTGTTACGCCTGGTGAAAAAAAATGTATAAATAGTACGTAATTTTCTCGCTAAAACTGCAAAATACATCACAGGATTCATTATAGTCTATAAGAGTCCATAAGTGTTAGAAAGACGTACCGGATTTTGTGTGCATAAATTTATTCGACAGATATTACAGTTACTACGAAAACTTTGCTTTATATACTTAAAAAAAAAAAAAAACCATAATCATAATAAAAGTTTTATAAAAGAATGACTCTTAATGAGAAGATTAACACATAACAAGTGTACCGATTGATTCATTAATGAAAATGTAAACATAAAAAAAAAAAATTAATTTAACATGTCCGTGAATCGTACCAGGAGACCGAATGAACCTGGTTGCAATAGTACATAGAAAAAAATGAAGACTGGTAATTGAATTAAATAGTTGATAAAAGAAGTGAAAAAACAAGCCAATGCTTAAGACAATTGACAAACGGGAAGGTGTGGGAAATGACTGGCACAAAATAATGAAAATTCATAGTAGTGACGAAGGCGAGACATATATTGTTTTACAAAAAGAGCGAACTATTGCCGATAGGTAATTGCGGATTATCGATTAAAAAGTTGATTGTACATGTATACGTACTTTGACTTTTCTCGTTTGTGATACGTGTTGTTTTGTATTTTGGATGCCGATTAATAGGAAAAAAAATTCCCGCAGATTTCTGAACAGCTGATGCTAATGATAATTATGCCGTTGTAATTCAGAGTTACACGGCGTCACAACCCGGTGAAAATCGTGTAAATAAACTAAAAGAAATCAAGCCAATTGCAAAAAAGTCGATGTTTAATTTTTTATCCAAACTATTTCCAGATACTTACCTTTTTCTCTTTTTTTTCTATCTCAATATTATCAATTAGTATAGGTATACATATAGATGCTGATGATTCTTTTACATCATTTATACTATAAATAATTTATTGGTTCAACATATACATTACATCGAAAATTCTCACTTAGATCCATATATTTAATCTAAATATGTGATTATTATATTAATTGCTTGTAAAAAATGCAGTCCAAACTTTTTGGATGTATTGACAGTTTGCGTGATTAAAAAAAAGTTTACAATTTTTTGATACGTACATGTTAAAAAAAAAAAAAAATACTACACCTATTAAAAAAAATGTACAACTAAACATTTTTTTGAAACAGTGCATTTTGGCAAAACTAATACTAATGGTACACACGTGATAATATTAAAATTATCTTTGATATGGATGCGCTTATAACTTATGACTACGATTTACATCGTCTTTGACGTCTCCATGTACCAACCATATGTACATAATTTTCTTGCGATTTTAACGTGCACAGCAAACAAATGCTCGCAGCTGAACCGCTATTATTTTAAAACTGAGTCGGTGATGGTTTTTTATTTTACACTGTGTGATTCTTAAATATTTTTACGCAGTTCAGAAATAAAGATATTTACAACGTTCTATTTACCAAAGCAGAGAGAAAAAAATGACCACGTTCAAAAAATTGTTGACCCAACATGTGCATTTCATTTTCAGCAATTAAGTATAAAGTAGTTCGGAAGGATCAAGGCGCAATGATAGCAACTAGTATGGTACTATAAGTATCCGACAATATGTATTTTCTAGTGGTTTGAAACTTAAATGTGCATGCAATAAGATTGTCTTTTTTTTTTTTAAACAGCGCCAAATCGCCATTATCGCCTGTATTGTGTTTAAATACGCTATCAACAAAAATAAAATGAAAAATGTTTGGTGATTCATCAATTGACATATTAATGAAAAAATTTCTCGGTTGTGAATTGTTAAGACTTTACTTTGTACATCGAACAACCTGGTTTTCAATATGCACTCGAAAATATTTGGTCATTGGTTGTGTTTTTGAGTAAACATCACACGTGAACACTCTGGCTTGTCCAGCAAACCATTACGTGTATAATAGTGCTCGTTTTATTTATTTATTTATTTTTATCACGCCCATTTTAATGTCCCTGCAACTCGACTGATCAAACAAAAAAAAAGTACCGTTTCGCTCTATACGTTATAATACACCACGCCAGTCTGACAAATACTACACATTTTGCAATATATGCACTACATATTTACGCGTGTGAAATCAATAAAGTAATAATTACATTGTTAAAAACACTCGAGTCGAGCAATCAAAAAATTTACTTTCGCGTTGACCATCATCGGTTTCAAAGATGACGATCTCTGCTCACAAAATATCATCGTTGGACCAACATTTCGTTGTTGGTCCTTAAAAAGCACGCAAGGTTTAACAAAAAGTTTTCAATACTTTTCTTGAACCTTCGCAACAACGCCATCGGATTTCTCTGTACACTCGAAACGAGTGACCGTCACAAAATCGGTATCGCCGATACTTTTAAAATTCATTGGATTTCTCCTCGAAATGCAAACCCAGCCCCCCTTATCCCTTACATAGCTCGAGCTGGGGAAACGAAATCCCCATCCAATCGCGCAAAAGGTACAACCGCTCGTCGTTACCATCCTCATCATAGCTCTCCGGTCTCGAGGGCCTTGTTGATGTCACCGACGAGGGCACCGAGTACGGGTCTAAGCTCGGAGTCGTTGGCGAAGACGGCCTCGAGAAAGTCCGGGTGCACGAGAAAGTCAAATACCTGTTCGCACCGCTCCCGGGATTTTTCGGTCAGGTGGGGCTTTATGAGGGCGCGAACTGCCGCTCGACACCGCTCCAGCGACTTAACCAGGTAGGCGCGCTCGTAGCTGAACTCGAGCTCGTAGAACGACAGCACGACCATCGCGGTCGAGTGCAGGGCCCGGCGGATCTCCTCCAGGTTACCCGCGTCCGACGGGCCGAGCTGCTGGTTGCGGTGCAGCAGGCCGATCTGAAAATTTTGTCCTTCATGTCATTGTGTTCATAATACTGTTGACGTCGAGTCGTTCCAACAAAGCGTTACAAAAGTCGAGTATTTTGTATATTTCAAAAAACGCGTCGGTCGCTTCTCCACCACATTGTAAGTTATTATACTCATATCGTCACGAGAATTGACGAACAACTAGCAACGAGTAAACAAAAATTGTCCCGTACTGCATAAAAAAATCCGCGATTGTTATATATTAACACCGTGTATTGGTACTCGGGGGGGGGGGGGGAGGGGGAGAGGAAAAAAAGGCCCTTTGCGAGGGGGCGCACGGTTAAAAGTCATGACCAACCTTGATGGACAGCTTGACGATGTTCTTGAGCACCTTCTCGGGCTGTTTCTTGTCGATGCGGGGACTGGCGCGCGCGGCCCGGTCCATCAGCCTGTACAGGTTGTCGAGGAGCGACGCCGTCGTGTCGTCGATGAGCAGGGACCGGCCGGCCGCGGAAGCGGCGAAACGGTCCAGCAGCTTCTTTTGGGCCCGCAGACCCAAATCTCGGGCCCGGCTGCCCGTCGAGGCTGGGGCCGTTGCCGCGTCTACCTCCGACGGCATTTTGCTGGTGCCGGTCACCGGGTACAACTCCCCACCCGTGGCCGCCGACTGTATCACTGATTTATCGTGGAACAATGTGATTATGTCGTTATACCTTTTCTCACGTTGGGTTTGAGGCTATTTTTGGGATCTACTCTCCAATGTATAGGTCGAGGAACGTTTTTCGATGGTGGGTTGTTTATCGAGAGTTACCTGAGCTTATTATTGTTATTATATATGTATATGTATA